CTACGCAATGACATAAATCAGGAACAGAGGGGGAGCCATTTGGTCAGATACTGAGAGGTCAGCTAAATGATCCAGATCATGTCCATATATATTATGGTAAGTCGATATCCTAATTATCGTTACCTCCTCCTCTTCCCAGGTTCCTCTGGTTTTGTCAGCAACATGCGCTCCTTCCTGTGGATCAAGGTGCAGCAGTTCACCAACCGCGTGGTTCAAGTGCGTCTCTTCGCCCACTTGCACTCCCTCTCCCTACGCTGGCATCTGGGCCGCAAAACTGGCGATGTGCTGCGAAGCATCGACCGCGGCACCTCCTCCATCAACAGCCTGCTCAGGTAAGATGGCACTGGATCGGCAGAGTTTTCCTCTGGACCTGTATTCTTTCCTAAAATTGTATTTGGACTCAATTCTTGTTTTATTTCCCCTACAGCTACATAGTGTTCAGCATCTTGCCAACCATTGCTGATATCGTCATTTCTATCATCTACTTCATCACTTATTTCAACGCCTGGTTCGGCCTCATTGTCTTCGTCTGCATGACCCTGTACCTCAGTAAGTAGTCGCCATAGCTATCATTCGATATGATACAACAACGTGATGAGTTTAGTCGAACATACCCCATATAAACGTTCAGATGTACCCCTAAAGATTCCTTTTCCACCAGCTCTGACCATCATTATCACCGAATGGAGAACCAAGTACAGACGAGACATGAATCAGCAGGACAACAACGCCAAGTCCAAGGCCGTGGACTCCTTGTTAAACTTTGAGACGGTACATCAAACATTTTGGTTCATTGGAAGTTGAATCATTCCGAAATGTCAAATTTTGTTTCACTATTTTCCTCCTTATTCTCTCAATTCAACAGGTAAAATACTACAATGCAGAGAGCTATGAGGTCAGCCGTTTTGAGGACGCCATCTTAAAATACCAGGTAAGTCAGAGGTATTCGGACAAGTGTCCATTTTGGCCCTCAAGTGGGTTGATTAGATGGTGTTTTGTTAACATCAATTATTGTTTTTAGGTGTCAGAGTGGAAGACCCAGGCGTCCCTGGCATTCCTCAACCAAACACAAAACGTCGTCATTGGGTCAGGCCTGCTGGCCGGTTCTCTCCTCTGCGCCTATTTTGTGACGGAGGGAAAGTTTCAGGTATTGTATGTTTTCCTGATCAAACTGCGAGGAATAAAAATGCTAGTTTGAACTCTTGCATTCAGTTTGACACTGATAAAACTCCTCTTATCCTAGGTTGGAGATTTCGTCCTCTTTGGTACCTACATCATCCAGTTGTACACCCCCCTCAACTGGTTCGGAACCTACTACAGGTAAAAAAGAGGCTGCTTCAAATGCATCGTGGTCGACTCAAGCGCAGTAAAGATCGGTCTGTGTTTAAGGCTCTGACTCGGTTTTTCTTTTTGCTGCAGAATGATCCAGAATTCTTTCATTGACATGGAAAGCATGTTCAAACTTTTTGAAGAGGATGAGGAGGTACTTTGAAACTAGTTGTTCTCGCTTGAAGCTCTGCATCGTGATCCATTTTTTAATCTTCTCTGTGTTTGTTCTCTTGCGCAGGTGAAAGACGAAGTAAACGCAGGGAGTCTTCTCTACAGAGAGGGGAAAGTGGAGTTTGAGAATGTCTACTTCAGCTACACAAATGGGTTGGTTTACATTTGATTTGATTGTCTGTTAACACCCATGTGTATTTTACAAGCACCAGTTCTTGAATGTCCCCACTGTTTTACAGCAAGGAGATTCTCAAGGATATTTCCTTCACTGTTCTTCCTGGACAGACGGTTGCCCTGGTAAGGAACAACTTCCATTCGTACAGCTGAAGTGCCTGTGCTGTGTTTGGACTGTGCTGTAATGTCCTCTTAATCTCCCCAGGTGGGACCATCAGGTTCGGGGAAGAGCACCATTATGCGACTCCTCTTCCGTTTCTATGATGTTCAGGGAGGCTGCATAAGCATCGATGGGCAGGATATATCGAAAGTACGAGTACATAGAGACATAATTCCAAGTCCAATTGAGCATGAAGTGATAAAAGCATAGTACATATTTGTGAATTACTACGTCTTCATTGTCTTTGCTCAGGTGAAGCAGAAGTCTCTGCGAGCGCACATCGGCGTGGTTCCCCAGGATACTGTGCTCTTCAACGACACCATTCGAGATAACATCCGCTACGGCCGCATCTCTGCTACTGACCGGGAGGTGGAGGAGGCTGCTTTGGCTGCGGACATACATGACAAAATCATGACTTTCCCTGAAGGTAACCTTTAGGTCAGGGTTTCTCAGTGGGTGGGCTGTGGCCGATGATTCGTCACTACTACCCACTTGAGGGTCCATCTTGGGCCCACGTGACTTTTTCCCATAGACTTACATTGGGATAGCGACATCTTTAAATCAATGGATACATTCAGTTCAATGAAATGAGTTACAAAAGGTTGAGAACCCCTGCTGTAGATCGAGCCACCTGTGTTTCTCTCTGGCAGGATATGACACTCAGGTGGGGGAACGAGGTCTGAAGCTGAGTGGAGGAGAGAAGCAAAGGGTGGCTATAGCCAGAACAATCCTCAAAGCACCGCAGATCATCCTGCTGGACGAGGTGAGATTACAAAAAGGAAAACATTACCACATTGTTATTGCTGTTATTTCCAGTTGTAACGAATAATGTGTCTCTACAGGCCACGTCTGCACTGGACACGCAGACAGAACGCAACATCCAGGCCTCACTGGCGAAAGTCTGTGCCAACCGTACGACAGTTGTCGTAGCTCACAGGTAAGAGAAGCATGTGCTGTCTTTTTTTCTTCTATTTCCTTTGTTTCAGTGGAGTTATGTGAATCTCTTGTTTGTATACAAAAGGTTGTCCACCATAATCGGAGCAGACCAGATCCTGGTTATCAGTGACGGCCGGATTGCCGAGAGAGGAGAGTAAGTGTGAACTGTTTTCCTGGTTGTCATACTGACAATCCCCTTTTTCATTTAACTCGAAGTGACTCACTTTCTCTCCATCCAAGGCACGAGGAGTTGCTGGACAAGGGAGGCTTGTATGCAGACATGTGGATGAAGCAGCAGCAGGCCCAGGACTCTGATTCCTCGTCAGATACTGAAGCCAAAGACCGCAAGTCGGAGAAACTGCAGCCGCCGTCGACCTCGTCAGGACACTAGGCAACTGAATGCATCTTTCTTTTTTTGTTTGTTTAGTTTTAAAAGAGAACGCTATGTTTTTTTTAGTGTAGTCAAACTGAATGTGTGACGGCAGGTCATGGAGGAAAGGGAAGGTGCCTTTAACCAAATAAGGAAGTGTTAGCAATCTGGTGATTTTAGCTGTAATTATGGGCAGTGTTTTTATTCAGGGATGGAGCAAAAAGATCGAATTATCATCACATCTAAAAGCAGACACTGGCATTTCTTTTTTTTAAATTTAAAACCTTCATTATGAGGTTGACACCCTGAGTGAAGTTTTTAGCACCTGAACTTGATTTGAGGATATTTTTAAAAGCACTCCTGTGACTTTTTAAATGTTGTCTTTATGTTTCATGTGAAGAATTTACTTTTTGTGCTGTCTTGTAAAATTCTATGACATTGAAAAAATTATTTAAAGACATAAACGAGAGAGCTGCAAAAAAATGAGTTGTCCACTACATAATATCAGTTAGTATAAAAGCTGTCAGGGATTTTATTCAGCTTTGTTTTGTTTTTTAATTTTTTTGTCGTCTGTTTTTGACCTTTGCTGTTATTTAAAGTGATATATTTTAAATGTGTAAAGCTCTGTATACTTTAAATCACTAAGGTAAAGCAGGGTGTGCTGCTTATTTGATTATTGTCTGCTCAGTTTTCATCACGGGTTAATGAATACACCAGATGTCATTTGATTTGTCTTTCAATGTAGGCTGACTTATTTACATGTAAAGTGATAGTATACATTTCTGCCTGTGATTGCCAAACATTTTTACTTTGTACATGGAGCCGAGTTATCAGTTATATCTGCTTTTATTGCACTACAAAGTTAAAGTATGTACCTTAAAAACAAAAAAAAACATACAACATCAAATAAAATACCCCATGCAGTATTAATACACAGTTATTCCCACTTAATGCTATATATAAATAGTTATATACACAATTTCTGAATCAAGAATATGGAATAATTTCATTTTTTATATCTACCTCACAAAAGGTATTGCTCACGATTATTACATTTTGTAAATATTCTGTTTTGTCTTGTACATATGAAAAATAAAAGGGTTTTTTTTCCCCATAAGTTCTTGTTAAAAATCATTACCAGTTCCTACTGACTCGGCACACCACCAGTTTGGAGAAGCAGACTGGAAAACTGACAGGGAAGCTATAAGCAATGTACTGCTGTGGATGGGGCCGGCAACAAAATGGATTTTCGGCACCTAAAAAAAGTCCCACTTAAAAATACTGAAAGCAGTTTAAGTGTATCTTACATTGAGAGTATTTCCACCGCTTTACCTTAATGTCACAGTGATTTCCAATGGGAAAATGAAGCTGTTGCGTCACTCTCTTCACAGCCAGACTCCATTGTGAAAAACAATGATTTAACATAGCTGAGCACAGGAGCTGCTGGTGTACTGCTGCCTCAGTGAGTTATGTTGTTTATGTTATTGCGTGACTTTCGGGTTTAAACGGGTTGGTTTAGAATCACCAAAGTTATGCAATAACACAAACTAACTAGCTGTGCAAAGCAGGAGTTGGCCAGCAGCTCCTGTGTTCAGCGAGCTTAAATTGCTGTATTTGTCAATGGAGTCTGGTGGCTTTGACAAGAGAGTAATTGGGAATATGTTAATATCGGTATATATAATATGGGTGTGTCGTGGAAAGGTAAAGCAGTGATAATAATCTTAATATAACATACATTTAAGAAGAAGAAGATCCCCCTACTGTAAACCTGAGCATGCAGAAGCTAACTACCTCCACAAGATGGCGGCAATGCATCACTACGTAGCTAGCTGCCTCCGGAGTACTGTCCCAGGTCAGGGCGTGTTGCTATCTAAGTTCCCTGTCAGTCGGAAGGGGGCCAGGCCATACAGTCGTCTCTTCAACACTCGGCGGACTCATGTTAAATCCATAGCTGATATGGATTTCGACGCTTTGTTTAACGAGAAGACATTTCAGTTCTCGGACTTCCAGGAGTTTACGGTATGTTGCTGCGCTACGTTAACTCTCAGTCGGCGAACTATGCTAGCTAACGAGCGCATTAGCATAGCTAGCTGACATTAGCATCAGCAGGATATGGAAACATTGTGTTCCGTATCTAAATACGCCGTTTGGGTACACTACTCAGCTACCACATCGCCAGTATACATTAAGTAATGTTTCTAGTTGAAGCTAAAGAGTGAGTCGTGTGAAAATTACGTTATAGGTTATAATAGAAAGAACGTCATGTAATGCTAGCTGCTAATGCTAGCACTTTGTTAGCAGCTGTCATTTTGCGCTCGAGCTACGGGCCTCGCGTTAGCTTAGCTAGCTTAAAGCTGTACGGGTGACATTTGCTGTCAACAATACACACATGTAATGTCAAAAGAAGACTTTATATATTAACATATGAGTGAAATTAGTGTTTAGCATACTGCTGTACGTGTCACTGCTTTTTAACCAAGCTAACGACAGTTTACATAACTAAGCTAACCTAGCTAGCTTACATGCATGTTATTGTTTTCACAGTTTCTCCCTGGACACCAGAAGTTGACTGAACGAGTGAGGAAGCGACTGTATTATGGCCTGGATAAAGATGTTTCCTTAGATGCTCTCTCCTGCCCTGTTACAGGTTAGTTAAATATTAGCTTTTAAACTAGGTTAGCAGCTCTCTGACGCACCTGCATGAGGACAAACTTGTTTTGCTGACATGCTTTGTCAATATCTTGCGTTAGAGTTATTTAAAACATTTAGAGGACAGTATGTCACTTGGATGTTACATGCACAGGCTTTATTTATATACAGAAATGGACTTTGGTTGCACACATGTTCACTTTTGTCCTCTGTGCTTCCAGATATCGCCGTTGAAATCTTCCAGAAGTCTGCCCCGAGCCCAATACGAAAGCTTCAGAAGAAGTATGCAGCTCATGTTTCCAGGTCTGTGCTTTTTATTATGCATGCATGGATTATACACTCCTGCACTGCCAATCACACATCTGAAACTAATGTGTTTTATGCTGCAGGGAGGCGTGCATCTCTCCATGTGCCATGATGCTGGCTCTAGTTTACATAGAAAGGCTCCGACATAGAAACCCTGAATACCTCCAAAAGATCTCCTCTTCCGACCTCTTCCTCATCTCCATGGTATGTGTGAGGGTTCATAGGTCGTTCCAAATGTGTCTGTGTTATTTCTAGCACCGGCGCGGCTCATTTCAGAATGCAGTTTGACATATGCGCTGATCTCCCGCGTTGAATTAGATGGTTGCCAGCAAGTACCTGTACGACGAAGGAGAGGAGGAGGAGGTTTTCAACGACGAGTGGGGCGCAGCTGGGAAGTTGGACGTCAAAACTGTCAATAACCTGGAGATGAACTTCTTGAATGCCATTGTAAGTGTGTGTGTGTGTGTATTTGCATGTGCATTGTTGGCTTGAGTTCTTTGTCCCAACCACTGTGTCATATCTTCCAGGAGTGGAGCCTCTACACAGAGCCAAATGACTTGTTTGATATACTAAGTCAACTAGAAACCAGGTTGGTATTCAGCTATGTAAAACTTACTCTTGAAGAAATATCAGCCCTAAAAATGGACATTAATTTTGACCTTTTAGCAGCACTGTAGTGGCTTAATCAGTTTGTGTTTGTTTCTGACCGTGTATCACCAGCATTGCGGAGCGGCAGGGGATGAAGCGTGGCTGGTTCACCTACACAGACCTCTGTGTGCTACTGGAGCACTCAGCGTGGAGTCAAGCCCTCGCAGCCATCTACCAGCACTTTACCAAGGTAAGCCGGGGATTGTAGTCTGTGGGGGCAGGTGTAACACTTGACATCTGGTGTGTCAATCAACGCTGTGATTCTAACATTGTATTTCCAGGTATCCTGTATGCTCGGCCTCGTCTATCTCACCAGTGTGGCCGGCCTCATTGCCACCAGCGCTGTGCTGCACCAGCTCAGCCTCTCCAGAAGTGGCCAGTCCCTGCTTCCACCTCCACCTGAGATTAGCCCAGCCCATCTTCAGACCTCCAACCTCAACACGGAACCTCCTCCTGCAGCCCCGCGCCCCCCCTGTTGTGTTCTGGCCAACAAGAGCGTGAACCGTCAGACCAGCGCGCTTGGAACGGACCAGGATCACGGACAGAGCTCCCCGTCGGCCCTGTCGCAGTCATCGATATTGTGTCTCTGGGGTTCCCTCCTCGCCTCCATGGGTCATATACACCCTGAGACAGATTCTGATATGGAAGCTCCACACATCTGGTCTCCTGTGTCCTTCATCTGTCCCGGCTGTCTTGCAACCCTCCCTCCTCTTCAGTGCGGGCTTAGGAACACCTCAACACTCTCCACCTACGGTCCCCTTGATAACCACCAGCATCATGCACCATGGCTGCCCTCCAGCCTCCTTGGAGGGGCGGAGCCAAGCCTGAACTCACGCCTGGGGGTGTTCCCCCCCGTACAGCTGGGACCCTGCCATCCAGAGTCGATGCTGCCTGTAGACAAAGCTCAAGCTCTGCTCATGCCTGGTTAGTCACCGGCAAACTGCTGTCCACCTGTCGTGATGGACTCTGGAAATAAAACCAGCATTATATTCATGACTCATCCACCACTGTTCAAGTCATGTTTTTGTTTACTTTTCCAGATCTAGCACACAGGTGCAGACGTGAGTAGTTGGGCACAGACAGGGCGAGAGGATGGAAATTCACTTAAAGCTCAGCACTGCAGAATATTTTTGCCATAGCTAAAATGCCATAGTGTTCACTTGAAGCTCTGCGGCTCATTTTAATGCAGAGAATCATGAGGAATTTGAAAGTAGTTTGTTTTTCTTGGCTGCAACCAAATTGTTTTGCTCTCCACATTTATCATTGGAAGTTCAGAGCTGTCAGGTGGTGATGTTGGGCCTTTGTGACGAGTGTGTTTGGAGTTATTACATTAAAGCTGTTGCTACTTGGCAGGTTGATGAAAGTGTGTGGAGGTTTTACAGCAAGTTAAGTTTGACTTTTTTTTAATGACGGGGTTCTCTGCGAAGAAGGGACTAAACCAGTTTACTTTGTCTACTTAATTTTGGCTTCTCCATATTTGCTTATTTTTACCATTTGTTTTTCACATATGCACAAGGAGCTGTACATCAGAAATGGGTCACACACATGCAGCAAGCACTGACTTTGTACATCGGATAGTTTTTGTTACTGTTAATGAAACAAATAGTCTTTCCCCTATGTTCAGGAGGAAGCATCTAAGAAAGGAAACGGACAGTTTGAAGGCAGCGGCCATCTCATACCTCAGAAAACATCAGCTTCTCCTATTCTGGTCATTTACAGCTTAAAACTTTGTCCTGTTTCCTTTTTTGAGTCAATATTTGCCAGATTTTATGTGGCAATGGGATGTCACATAACTTTTAAGCTAATTCTCTGTACCAGGGTGATGTTTTAGCCACATTGAAGAGATTAATCTTTAAAGTTTCCCATTCTCCAAGGAGAAGACAGTCTGTATAAATAGGATGGGCTCCAAGGGATTCGTGCAGTTTCTAATTGGTTCCTGGTTGGTGTTGGTGAAGTGGACATTTTGAATATAATGTGTCACAGGCGAACAGCAGTGTTTCTTTGTCGATGCAGTCTGGAATTTGCACATCTGGCTCCATTTTCACTGCAACAGGACACTTCACTCCAAGTGTGTCAAGTGTATCTTTTTCCCCCAACACTGGAGGAAAATGTAAAGAATGAATTTTCTCTTTATGTATGTCCACATGGTCTCTAGGACATTTACTTTGTAACTGAACCTTTGACAAGTTGCTCTGAGCATCTGAATTTGATACACTTTGAAGCACCTTTAATTTTGTACATGGTGTAAAATGCAAATATTGTACGAATCTGTAGAAAAACCAAGAACTAATAAAGGATGCATTTCTTTGACACTTGTTGATTATCGTCTGTGTAAACAGCAGAGTGTGAAGCATCATTTAAATCATACAGCCAACAGTGTTATTGTTTGCAGCTTTGACACTTGCTCTATATAGACCAGGAGTTAATGCCATTTTAATATCTGACATAGCTGGAGAAACTGTACCCTCTATACAGGTCTTGATACATCAAGGACGTTTACAGTGTACCTATTTTTATATTATTATTGTTATTTGTATTCAGATTTTATATTTAATTGCAAATAGCATTTCCTTTTTATACGTATGCTTCTAAAGAAGCATGTTCCTTTCTGTGTTACTCTATATTTTATGTTCTTCAATAAAACCGATTCTGAAGGAGACACAAAATGACGAAATTACCCCAAATACATACAACACAAACGAGACACAAAATGACCCCCCCCACCCCAAAAAAATACCTAGAAGAGACATAAAGATAAGAAAAAGACACAGAACAACCACAAGGAGACACAAAATGACCCCAGACGGACTCAAAACAAACACAAACCGACATATAACAACAAAAAAAGACACAAAATAACTTCAGAGAGATATAAACGACTCAAAAATGACACAACAACCACAAGGACACACAAAATGACTACTAAGAGACACAATACAACAAAAAAACTGACACAAAACAAATGAGACACAAAACAACCACAATATGACACAAAGTTACCTCAGAGAGACTCAAAACAAACACAAAGAAACAAAACAACAAAAAGGACACAAATTTACCTTGCAGAGACATAAACGATTATAAAATGACACAAAACAACCACAAGGAGACACAAAACAAGAGCAAAATGACCACAAAAAGACACAAAATTACCCCGGAGAGACTCAAAACAAACACAAAGAGACACATAACGACAAAAAAGACAACACAATTTCGTCAGAGAGACATAAACAACTAGAAAAAGACACAAAATTACCCCAGAGAGACTCAAAACTACTAGAAGACACAAAAACAACAAGGAGACACAAAATGACCACGGAGAGACTCAAAACAGCAGCAAAGAGACACAAAATGACTACAAAAAGACACAAAATTACCCCAGAGAGACTCAAAACAAACACAAAGAGACACATAACAACAAAAAAGACGACACAATTTCGTCAGAGAGACATAAACAACTAGAAAAAGACACAAAATGACCCCAGAGAGACTCAAAACAAACACAGAGACACACATAACAACAAAAAAATGGCACAATTTCGTCAGAGAGACCTAAACAACTAGAAAAAGACACAAAATTACCCCAGAGAGACTCAAAACAACTAGAAGAAGACACAAAAACAACAAGGAGACACAAAATGACTACAAAGAGACACAAAATTACATCAAAGAGACACAAAACAAACACAAAGAGACACAAAATGACCACCAAAAGACACAAAATTACCCCAGAGAGACTCAAAACAAACACAAAGAGACACAAAATGACCACAAAAAGACACAAAATTATCTCAGAGACACATAAACGACTAGAAAATGACACAAAACAACCACACAGACACAAAATTACCCCAGAGAGACTCACAACAACAAAGAACCACTAAACAATGAAAAAGACATAAAATGACCTCAAAGAGACACAAAATGACCTCAAAGAGACAAAAACGACTAGAAATAGACACAAAACAACCACAAGGAGACACAAAATGACAAAAAAAATTACCTCATCAATAGGGCTGGGCAATGTATCAATCTTTTATCGACATCGTCATATTGTGACATCATAATGTATTTTCCTGGTTTAAAGGCTGTATTACAGTGCAGTGATGTCATTTTCTGAACTTAGCAGACTGCCGTAGCTGTTCTAGTATTTCCCTGTAGTCACTTATTCATTATATCCACATCACCGATGATTGTTTATCAAAACTCTCATTGTGTAAATATTGACGCAATATCGGTATTGAGGTATTGTGTCAATGGTGCTTTTATAAAATATTTACACATAAATTATCGTGATATTTGATTTCCTAGCCCTACTCAGTAAGACACAAACAACCATTAAACGACACAAAACCACAAAAAGATGCTGAATCAATTACAAAGAGACAAAAAAACCGGCATCAATTCTGTTGCTCCTGTCTTGGAGAGGTGGTGGGGCCCTTTGCATATCCGTGCCCAGACCATGAGTTCCACCCCTGCAGCCAACACATGGTGGCAAATTAATGTGATCTGAGATGGCAGTAAGTGTTTAAAGTACGGCCAGTGCTTTCCTCAAACAAGCTCGAAGGCAAGGCGATGACGAGTGTGTTTTTAAAGAGACGGGAGCAGATGTCTGGGTTTGGAAGAACCTTGAGTGTCCCTCCCCCAGGGCCCGTCCTACCCCTCCCCACCACCCCTGGCCTGACACATACCACTTTAGAGCTCCTAATATAGACCCAACTGCTTTGTAGGAAAGGGTAACAAACCGAGCGGCGTCTCACGAGCAGTTTGCTGCTTTGAAATCAACTTTTTCATGGACACACAACAGAATAATGGAGCCTCCCTCACAGGTGAAGTGTCACTTTGGATTGAATATAACTATAAAGCGTGTGTGTGGAGTTAAAGTATCATTGGAGCCACGGAAATGAGCAGCCTTTTGGATTTCAGACTATCCTGACAATGTCATGTGGAGAATGTTTCACTTGCTCTGTTGTAGGTGTCACTCCAAGGAAAGAAGCAGCAAATACAGAAACAAGGTACGACGAACGATGGTAGGGTGCAAGAACATGGATGTGTTACTGTAACCATGCGTTTGTGTGTATGCATGTGTGATCAGCTGCTCTAATATGTGACTCCTCACAGAGGCTGATGCCACAGTCTACATGAATTTCATGAAAAGCCACAGCTGCTATGACGCCATTCCAACCAGCTGTAAACTGGTCATATTTGATACCACACTACCAGTAAGAAATGCAGCTTGTATCACCGTTGGCATTCTTGGCTTGTAAACCCTCCGTCTGACTGTGTGAATTTATGACTTCCAAAAGGTGAAGAAGGCCTTTTTTGCTCTGGTGGCAAACGGCTTGAGGGCTGCGCCTTTATGGGACAGCAAGCGACAGAGATTTGTGGGTAAGACATGGGATCAATGGGATAGCCACAGGGAAGTATTGGTCAGTAATGGGAACATAAGTCCATTTCTTTCACAGGTATGCTGACGATTACAGATTTCATCAACATCCTCCATTGCTATTACAAGTCTCCAATGGTGAGCATGAGTTTAAAGCCATTTATTACTTGCATAAATGACCGGCTTGTGTATCAGTTGCTCACTGTGTGTTACCTTGAAGTTGTGAAGAAAAGGTTGTGCCTCCACGGTGAACGGAGAATCCAAGAAAGGCGAACATCCGCAAAGAATTAAAATAATCACGGTCCACATTTATCAACAGCAAAATTATCCATTTACAAGTTCTCGCACAACTCATGCAGTATCATCCAAGTCTCATTTATCCAGTCATCATGCGAGGTAAGGGTCATGAGAGGTAAGGAGGTGGTTCTTGGGGCGGAGGGAGTTGGGTTTGGAACTGGAGGGTTGCCAGTTCAAGTCCCCATACAGAACAAATATGGAGCATGGACTGGTAGCTGGAGAGGTGCCATTTTGCCTCCAAGATACTGAACTTCTTCCTCTTCTTAAAAAGTTCGGGGAGGCACTGCAGAATAAATGGAAGCATTGGGAAGGGAATCATGGTTTTTGATTTGGCTTTGGGGTAGTGATGTCCAAATGAAGCTTCATGAACCACCGGTTGTATTTGCTGAACCCACTAGATGGTGGTTCATGAAGCTTCATTTGGACATCACTACTTTGGGGAGGGATACTCAACTTTAAATGGTAGTATTCTGTATTTACAGTGATTTTAATACCATCAGAACCCCAAAAACCCACAAATGGGTGTGAAAAGCTTTTTTAATCAACAAAATTATACCATTTATCAAAGCCGGAAACTGAGGACACAGAAAATATTGTTGGATTTTTACATAGATGATTCGTTTTTTATAGGAGGATTTGTATTTTGCTCAAGAAATTAGCTGTTTCTCTATCGTCAGGAGAGGTATGGTTGAATTGAAGTCAAATATACACGGTTTATATCTTTTTTTTGTGGGATAAAAACATGAAAATTAAGAAAACATGAAGAATGTCTCTTTTTTGGATTCTTCGTTCACCAGAGGCACGCAAGACAAACTTTCTTCATGAATTCAAGGTAACATGGTTTGAGTAACTGTTAAACAAATGGTCATTTTGTGGGTGAAGTATTCTTTCAAGATAGTATAATTATTATAGATCAGACATTTTTATTCGACACCATATCTTTTTATTAGATAGTTGTAAAGCAACGTAGTGGGTGGAAGATTTTTCATAGGTTGCAATATTTTTTGACCTGTCCTTAATGTGTAATCACTGACGCATAAATTGACGTTGGGTTTCCCCTCTAAAGGTTCAAATGTATGAGCTGGAGAGCCACAAGATTGAGACATGGAGAGGTGATTTCTTTCGAAGTAAATAACCAGCACTGATCAGCGGTATTCTTTCTGCGCACACATCTCTGAATTTCTCATTAGAGTTCTCTCTCTTCTTGTGTCTAGATGTCTACTTACCGTATTCCAATCACTTCCTCATCAGTATTACCCCAGAGGCCAGGTGAGCGCACACTCTCAGATGCAATCTTTGATATTATTTGAATTGTTTATGTTCTCATCATCTGGCAGTAAATTAACTCTCCCACTCTTTCCTCTCAGCCTCTTTGATGCCATCTATTCCTTACTTAAATATAAGATCCACAGGCTGCCGGTCATCGATCCACAGTCTGGGAATGTCTTACATATTCTCACCCACAAAAGGATCCTCAAGTTCCTCCATATATTTGTGAGCAAGCAGATGATTAGCATGTTGTTTATTTTTGCCATGAAAAAAGGACTGCACCAACTCCAACGTTCTTCCACTGTGGATGTTTTCAGGGGAAAAAAGTACCCAAACCTGCGTTCATTGGGAAGCAGATCCAGGAGCTTGGGATTGGAACTTTCAGGAACATCGCTACCGTTCAGCAAACAGCAACACTTTACGACGCCCTCTCCATATTTGTGGAGAGGCGGGTGTCTGCACTGCCTGTGGTGGACGAACAAGGTATTACAGAGCTGTGTTTACTACACAGTTTACCAGTTAAATACTGTTCCGAAAGTATCCTAGCACTACAGCATCCAACATTTTGTTTTCTCAGGCAGAGTGGTGTCACTCTACGCAAGATTTGATGTGATTGTAAGTATTATGTTTCTACTATGTCTCTACAGTGTAGATTAGTACATGTCATAGCATTGCTTGCTGACACCTGCTCCAACACTTGGGTATCTGTTTGTTCCATTGCAGAATCTAGCAGCACAGAAGATTTACAACAATCTGGACATGCCTATGCATGAGGCCGTTCGCAGGCGCGCATGTTTCATCGAGGGAGTCATCAAGTGCTACCCTGACGAAACCTTGGAGACAATCATAGACCGTATAGTCAAAGCTGAGGTAGATTGTTTCTTTGAAAGAGTTTGGTTTTCAATGTGAGAATGGTCTTCCAATGTTTTATCCTCCTCAACCCAGGTCCATCGGCTGGTCCTGGTGGACAGAGCTGATGTGGTCAAGGGCATCATCTCTTTGTCTGACCTGCTGCAGGCCATGGTCTTAACCCCTGCAGGTATTGATGCCCTTTTGTCCTAACAACAGGGGACGGAGGGTCGACTTCCCTCCTCTACCACCTGCTCAGACCCGAGTCCTGGCCATGCACCCAGCCAGGTAGGCTCTCAAGCACCATTTTTAAGGACAGGCTAAGTATTTTAATTTCTAATGAAAACTCAGAGAGCATTTTTAGGGGTCAGTCAGTCTATCTATCTGATGTCTTTCAGAGATCAACTTGTGCCTTAAATGAGAGAGCACAAGAGGAAATAAAACCCCCTGGCTGCCCTGCTGTTTACGTTGAGATGTCATCTGTGATCTATGTGCTGTGTTCAAGTAACAGTAAAGGACAGTGAGCTGACCTTGATGTAGTGAATCTCTACAGGTCTCCAGCACAGTGTCCATATTGGCTGCATTTGACCAAATTGATATGTGATGTGTTTACGCAATACTGTATATTTCTGTATTAAACATTTGTACCAAAACTTGCAGGTGTGGCCTTTTTATGGTACATTTCCTGGAGAAATACAGTGTGTGGACTATGGCTGGAGTATGCTCATATATATAAAGAGAGAATGGGAATTGAAGTAGACCTGCATAGGCTTTGGTCCTATCTATCCTGTCCTATATATCCTAGTCCTAACTCGGGCCAGCAGTAGCTTAGTCCATAGGGTCTTGGGTTGGGAACTGGAATCTATCTATCTATCTATCTATCTATCTATCTATCTATCTATCTATCTATCTATCATATCCAAAGGTGTGGACCTTGGTCCCATGACATGGACTGAAGTCACAAATTTAGGACTTTAGACTCAACCATTCATTTGACTCGGGCATTCATGTGGATACCACCTGAGGTGTTCCCCCAACTCAAAAAACACTGTTGCAGACCAAGTACCCCCCGTCATGGCAACAGTACTCCCCAATGGCAGTGGCCCCCCAGCACAAAAAAACACCATGCCACACTACAAAAACTGTGTAGAAATGGCCTGTGGAGTGTGACAAAGAGCTCAAGGTGTCGACCTGGCTTCTAAATTTCCCAGGTCCCAATCTGCTCAAGGATTCTTGTGATGTACCGGCACCCCAGATGTACGTCTAATCCAAGGTGGGGACTCTTTGGATTGGACTTGACCCTTGACACAGGATCTCTGGGAGTGTCCTGCTGTGTCCGGCACCAGTGTGTTGGCGGCAGATCCATTTAGTCCAGTGGGTTGTGAGGTGGGTTAATGGCATGTGCCACAGATGCTCATTCACATTGGGATCTGGGGAATTTTGGAGACCAGGTTGACACTTTGAGGTCTTTGTCATATTTCTTGGGCCGTTCCTGAGCGATGTTTGCAGTGTGGCATGGTGCATTATCCTGCTGGGGGCCACTGCCATTGGGGAGTACTGTTGCTATGAGGGGGGGTACTTGGTCTGCAATGGTGTTTGAGTGGGTGGAACACGTCAGGTGGTATTCACATGAATGCCAGAACCAAAGGTTTCCCAGCAGAACAATCAAAGTTATTCTCTTCACCTGTCAGTGGTTGTAATGTTTTGGCTGATTGGTGTATATACATACATATATATATTTATACAGTAGTAGAAGTTATTGTAGCACTGGTGGTGATATGTCATGCATGCAGCAGTATGTCTATCCACACGGTGGTACACTTGGGCTTTCACCCACTCTCTCTATACCGTAAACAAGGAAACACGTGACTATACATTTTTTTTTCTCGTCCGTGACGGGCCTTGTGATCCGTCCGCCCATCTGTGTCATTGGTACATCAAGCTGCCGGAAATGATAAAGAGTAAGGCTGGAAATTGTGATAACCTTCAAAGTAAATTAGACCAACCGGACATAAAATCTAAACCCAATTAAACTGAGAGGTTACTAATAATTATTCTAAATGTGTAGATTATAGATGGGTTTTAGTTTTAAAAGTCACAATCATCATTTCCGCGTTGATACTTTGAGCATCCGTCGTATAGGCTCTTTTATTGTGAAAGTCACAACCGGAAGTTCCGTTTTTCCTTTAAATCCGTCACCCTTGACGCTGATCTTTCCACATACCCCGTGATATCCAAAACAACATAACAAAGTGGGGGAAACATGGCGAGCGGAGAGGAGGCCAGTAGACGCCCCTCGGTTACCTCCTCTTCGGTCGGCCTGGAGGCTCTGTTCCCCGCGGGGTCATCGGAGCAGGTCTGCGGGGACGGGAACCCGGAGTTAGTCCGTCTGCGGGAGCGTCTCCAGGGCTGGCTATCGCAGTATGAGCCGCTGCTGCTGTGGGTGCAGAGGCTGCTGGTGTGGGAGAGGCCGTTGTACAGCATCTCTGTCGCCCTCACACTCAACACGTTATTCTGGTAACCGTCCGAGTCCGTGTTTAATCACGTTTCCATTTTGTTTAAACACCTGTACGTGGCTACACTGAACACTAGTAGCTAGCTAGCAGGCTAACAGTGCTAGCAAGCTAACAGCGAGGAGGATATTATCAGTGAATGTCAAGATAAGTTAGCTAATCCCACGTCTTTAGCCTAATGCTAACCTAGCATGCAAGGCAGTTCAAACTTAATTTCTGAAAGCTAATTTGATGTCATACATTAAACACTATCAGGTAAAACAACATGGCGCTGTCAACACTGGCAACGACAGTTATTTTTGAGGTGTTACACCCGTTAGTTTTGTTTAGCTTAAACGCTCATGTCATGCTCAGGGGCTAGGCCTTGTTAGCCAGCTGTCAGTGACAGCCTGCTAACACAGGTGCTGTGTGGATGTGTTAAGTTTAATTTCCTGGCTTTATATGTATGTTTATTATATTTACACGCTTAAGCTAACTGGTAGGCTGTTTACGTGTGTGTCTCCACAGGCTCCTGTCATCCACCTCCCTGCGGCCTCTGTTCCTGCTGAGTCTGTCCCTGCTGGGACTGATGCTGCTGGAGAGATGGAAGCCCAAGTTGCCCATGATCACTGGTAAGCCCAGGCCTTTATGTAATTTGAATCTGGTCCTCAGGCTGTGTCACTCACTGCCTAAGCAAATGTTTACCATCGCTGAGCCAATTATGATCTATATTTGTGTAGCACGGTGCTTTCATGAGGATGGAGAAGCCTGCCATGAGAGTGTTTACTCTATGTGTGCTTATCTGCCTTAGATTATTCAATTTGCATTAAAGGGATAGGCCAGATTTTTTGAAGTGGGGTTGTATGAGGTACTTTTCCATAGATGTCAGTTGGCACCCCCACAGTTTGGAGAAGCAGGCTGGTGTCCAACATGGAAGATAAACAATCACTGCTGTGGAGGGGTCAGCTTCAAAATGTATTTTAGCCAACCAGATCACTATGAGCAGTATTTTCACTGCTTTCCACAGGAGCTGCTGGTCCACCGCTGCCTCAGACGCTTATTTTTTGTGTGTCTGTGTGACTTTGGTGTTTAAAAAGCTTAGTTTGTATTCACTAAAGTCACACAATAACACAAACTACTACACAAATTACTGCTTTTAATGGAGTCTGGTGGATTTGACAAGATCATAGATGGGGAACTGAAGCTTTTAATGTCTTCCACGTTGGAAAGGTAAAGCATTGAATAATTTTTAAATATGGCATATTCTTAAAGTGGTACTGATTTTTGTAGGTCGCTAAAATACGTTTTATTGCTGGCCCCCATCCACAGCAGTACATTGCTTAGCTTCTGTGCCAGACTCCAGCCTGCGTCTCCAAACTGGGGGCGTGCTGACTGACATCTACTGTATGTAACATACCGTCTGTGGATAAGTACCTCATATAACCCTACTTCAAAAAAACCTGGACTGTCCCTTTAACACGCTATTTCTTGTCAAGGTGGGAAAGACTCGAGCTGAACTTTGACTGAAAGACAAAACTTTTGAAAATCATCAGCAGTGTAATGCATACCTGATGACATTGTGGTCAAGTTAAGGTTTTCCCATTCATAACCAGTTTGGAATTGCTTGATTTTAAACTACAAAACATGTAATCAAACACAATACCTACACTTCTTTTATGCTCTAAGGCTCACAGGCACAATGATAATGACAAAACAACACATCTTTTGCCATTCAAAGCTCTAATCTTGAAAAACTTGTTTGCTAAAACGCAACTTTTCTCTCATGATCTGCTGCTGATTGTGTGTTTTTCTCCTACTGCAGTTCAACATGTAGAGGCTCACCCTGTACAAAGGTTTGTAGTGTGTACATAATAAACAGATTACTTGTAATAAAGTGTCTTCATAACACTTCTCTTGTATTTTCATATCCTGAAGTAATTTAAAGTGAGAGCATCTGATAAATTCCAACAGTGTGAAGTCTGTCTTTATGTTTGTGGCATTTCAGTCTCATATCACACCATGTAATTAGAAATAATTTGAGGCGACCAGTCTGGTCTAGTCTGTCGTACTTGTGTTCATCAGTGTGTTGTGTTCAAGTACAGATTAGAGTTAATTTTGTCACTCTTTCCCGTGTTTATGTGTGTTTTCTTGTTTGTAACAGTGACATGATGAGCGGAGAGCAGCGTCTGCTCAGTATCCCTGAGCTGAGCCACCACCTGGCTGAGAGCTACCTGACCTACTGCCTGTACCTGCAGGAGATGCTGCAGTACAAACGTCAGAATCATGGGAAGGTACGGCACTCTGACTCTGAAAAGGAAAAAAGGAATGTTGCAAATTCACCTTAAATTAAACTAAATATTCGAAGCTGCAAGGCATGACGCAATCGAGTGATCTCAGCAGGTGCAGCGGTCGCCACTGACATTCTCCTCTGTCATGCACAAACACACCACACACCTGCAGAGATAACACGCTTCCACGTCCTCATTTTGTGCCCCTCGGAGCATAAAGGCGTGATAGCCTAATTCCTCTTACCCGTTCTGTTTCCCCAGTTCTGTGTGATGATGTGCAGCGGCTGTTTTGTACTTGCCGTGGTCGGTCATTATGTACCAGGAATCATGATCTCCTACATTATCGGTGAGTCACCTCTTGGCTTATTCACGCAAATGAACTGTTGTGAAGAAAACAAGCAGTGTAAAGTTGTCATTGTGTTCCTCTGTGCACCTGCGCAGTCCTGAGCGTGCTGTTGTGGCCGCTGGTGGTGTACCACGAGCTGATCCAGAGGATGTACACGGGCTTGGAGCCGATCCTGATGAAGCTGGACTACAGCATGAAGGGAGATACGGAGCACCGCAAGCACGACAAGAGGAGTGAGTGCTGCTGTGAGGCCTTGAGGCTGCAGCGTGTGCAGCTATTATTTCACTATTGTGTTTGTAACATTAATACCGGAGTTAAGCATGTGACGACAAACACAAGGAGCCTGACTCAATGTAGATCACCTTTCTTTTTCCTCTTACTGACACCCAACCTGATTGTAAATCCATGTGTTGGACAACTGTGTAAATAGAGCAGTATTGACTAATAAGGAAGTGTGATTATAAGTTGCTCTGGTTACATTTGTACCCGTTCTGTCTTTGTCTCAGCTCCTACGGTTATTTACTGACATGCATTATGTTGTCCATGGTGACATTTTAAAGGTGTGTATGTGTGTTTGAACAGAGGTGAAGAAGGAGATGGAGGAGGGCGATGAGCCAAGAGCTGAAACGGAGAGTGAGAGTGAGGAGGAGCTGTCCTGTTTCGCTCCAACGGTACGGAGACACGCATGAAAACTCAACCCACATAACACTGTCACATAGGGCAGGCTGTTATGCAGTAGTACTGTGAGGAGTAGTGGGGGTTTTTTTTAGGCTGGAGTGGAAATGGAGCTCGACAGGTTGGTGTAGTAAATAGCTTCAAGCAGTATATGTTTCAAGTACGACCACATTCCATTAGTGTAACTGTAGGATGTATGCATTTGCTGTAATGTCAGGTATTCAGTCGCAATGCTACGTCTGTGGAATGAACTCAGACCTGCAGTTTAAACCTTAAAATTTTAGTATAAATGGTCAAAGAGAGATGGAGGTACAGTTGTGTTTTAGCAGTGATGTAATGCTGTGGTTTTGTCGGGTCAGGTGGACGTGAAGACCACAGCTCTGGCGATGGCCATCACAGACTCCGAGCTGTCGGACGAGGAGGCATCCATCTTGGAGAGTGGAGGCTTCTCCGTGTCCAGGGCCACCACTCCGCAGCTCACTGACGTCTCTGAAGGTAAACCATCGCTATTCAATATTTATTGCGACAACATTCAACTGGAAACTTCTCATTCTGTACTTTATATTTTGCTCAAATGCTTGACTCAGTTTTTGCTGTCTCCTCTCTACTACAGACCTGGACCAGCAGAGTTTACACAGTGACCCAGAGGAGTCCTACCTGCGGGATCTCCCTGAGTTCCCCTCAGTCGAGGAGTTCCCATCCATCGAGCACAACCTGCTCCACTTCCCTCTGCGAGGTCCCGGCCAAGCAGACGGAGCGCAGGCTGGCGCTCAACCAGAGGGAGAACCGTTAAGCCCTGCCAGCCTCCTCATCCAGCACCTGGCGTCTCCGCTCCACTTTGTGAACACACACTTCAACGGACATGGACGACCACCTGGGGGCGAGGAGGGCGTGCTGCTCACGCCAGGTGCAGGGGAGGGATCAGGGAGGCAGGAGGGAGACGAGAAGGAAGCGGCAGTAGCCCAGGGTATACAACAGTCCTTGGAGGCCTTGAGCGAGGAGATAGTGAGCACAGCCATCTCCACTGTGGTGCAAAACACTCTGTCAGCGCTGCTGCGCTCCAGCGAGGCCAGCGAGGAGCCCTCCCTGGCTGAGTTCCTTCCTACTGAAACCCCACCGGGCATTCTGGAGAGCTCCACCCCACCCACCGCCACCACTGCTAACACTACAATTACTACAATAGGCGCGTCGGGGGCTGACGACCTGGACGAGGCGATTACGACAGAAAGCGGCACCGGCGAGGAGATGCCTGACGACACACTAGTTCCGACTGAGGAAGAGGACTTTGAGCTGCTGGACCAAAGTGAACTGGAGCAGTTGGATGAGGGGTTGGACCTCATGTCTGACAGACAGGTGGTGGGAGGAGCCTCAGGAGCTCCAGAGACACCTCCGTCTCTTCAGCATCAACCACAGTCATAGCTTCCCTGTTGTCTCCCCCTGCCCCCAACTGTTTTGTTTTTATTTGTACGTTAGACCTGCATTATATCCATACATACCGCTATATACAAAACATTTATCAAAGAGTTTGGCATTTAATACTGTTGGTTAGTGATTGTGTGGCATATGGTTGAGATTACTCGGTGCGTTGTGCTCTCATCACAAAGGTCTGTTCAGCCTCGGTACCATTCGCAGTAGAGTTCAGTGAGGGCAGCTTCAGGGCAGAACTGGCTCGAGTGAACCGTTATAGAGACATCATTATCGTCAGGGGTTTGCAAAGCGTTTTGCATCTGCTTTCGCTCGATCATCAAACATTGAAATCTGCTGAAATCTGCTTGATTAACTGGCAAGCACATTTCTTACTGTGTAGTGAAAAACCTGTTGAGTCTGTCAGAATAATGATGCCTTTATTTTCTACCGTGGTGACGAGCTTCACCTCTCCACCTTGTTTTCATTCAGATGTTTATCTAGATGGTGTTATGAAGAGTTGAAATGTTGGATCATGTAACGATTAATATATGCTATAAATTATTTAATTTAACAGTCAGTTGATGAAACTTTATCGTTGAGATGAGCAGGGGAGTTTAACAGCGATTTGAATCCCTTCAGCTGCCGGTAATGATTGTATGGGAATTGTTTTAATGATGACACCATGAGCGTCCGGGTTGAAAATGTAGTTGCATATTCCCAGAGTTCATAAATAATAGTGTTATCCTTCACTTAATCCTTCCCACCAAAGTTACAGTTTGGACTATAGACTGTATGTAAGGATGGAGGATGTGTCAAAGTGTACAAAAATGAAGCCAAAATATCCCAGATACAGCTGCAACCATCTTGTTCTGGCAACAGCATTTGGAGCCAGAGTCTGTGCAAGAGTTGAAGGAAAGGCCCGCCTTACTCTGCCTCCAACTGACCTTGACATTCTTCACCTTACCCGAACTGATCTTACTCCTCTCCCTAAACCCAACGAATCCATCCATTGAAGGCAGTGAGTGCTAGCCAGCCATAGGGAGAGCAGGGCGGGTCATTCCTTCGCTATTCTAGGGAACGCAAATTCACGATGGTAGAAATCTCAGTCGTACCCCATAGCTCCCATTGGACAAAGATCGCATCCCAGGCTTCATTGGATAGCCTTGGATGTTTCGGCTTCACTTTCAGGGCGCTGTCATATCGTTTATCTTCATTATACAGTCTATGGTTCGGATTGAAGCATTCGGTCATGAGTGGTCTTTCACTTGTTGCCTGGAAACGGAATCTTTGACATGGTTGGATGTCGACAAGCAGTCGATCTTGGCCCAGACACATACATGACGAGACATGTTCCTGAAATTTCTCTTTGTGATAAACGGCTCATTTTTATTCGTACTTGCGGAAACAATTCCATACATCCACATGTAATTGGCCCACATGACGTTGAATTTATTCTCGATCTACGCTCACTGCTTGTTAGATAGCCCCGTCTATACCCAACTATTTGTTATATGTATAGTCATCACTGGGATATGTATATTTACCAAATAACCTCCTTTGTGCCACGACAAGTCCATGCATGCCATGCATCACGCATGTATCTACCATGATCAATATTTGAGGTCAATCTTCAAAGGAGTGTTACTTTTCCTGGAGCAGATTTTGTTTCTGTGACACATTATGTATGTGGCCGCTGCTGGGGATTTGTCAAACGTTCTGGACATGATGGAAAGAACCTACGCTCGGCTGTATAAAGAGGCCGGTTTTGCTTTTGTAAACCACTCAGCATCCAAATCTCAGGGGTGGGTTGTACAAAATGAATATGACATCGCAGAATATGTGTCCATTCCCAGACCTGTCGTAGTGCACTGTATTTGTACTAACCTTTACCTTTTTCAGTCGACGCCTCCTTGTGTATAGTGTAGAAATGCTCAAAGGAACGTGTATATTCTGCATGTAAAAACAGCACTCTCTGTTGTCAGCTGACAAAGTACTGCACAATTTGTGAGAAAAAAAGTCAATTTTAATAGATAATAAAGAGCCCGTTAATTCCGTTTGTTTAATATTTAATGAGCAACGAAGGGGAAGAAACGTTGTGATGTATCCTCATTTTTAAAAGACTGCCTAGCTGTAAATGGAAATGGGTGGCAACTTCAGTGATGACATCAGATTTAGTGAAGGATATTAACAGACTAGTTTGTGTATGGTAGTAGTGTGTTTTATGCTTCAAAATACCGCTTCTTGAATTATATATATATATAAAAAAAAGGCACTTACTGAACTGTACAATTTTAAAAAAGGAATATATTTTCTAATTTCTCCTTTTTCCATAAAGTACTCAGTTTGATCTTTTACATCTAAAAAAATATAACAGCGACGAACGAGTTTCACAAAGCGGAGGAGATTTATTGTCATTAAAAACTGGTAAAACAAAACTGCAACACCACATGTGAAAGCCAGAGAATAAAAGGACAAACTGAAACAAACTTGAGACGTGGAACTGAGATTCATCTGAATTATTTCCTTTGTTCATTTTTGTGTTGTCACGTGATGTTGTTCTCTTTAACATCTATCAATTGTGTTCGTCGTTCTTTAAAATTGTGTAATTTCCTGATGCAAATTCTTTTTCCTGGGAAAAGAAAAATACCTGTTAGCACCTTAGAAACACTTTGAAAACGTCAAATTTTTAAAGGTCCAGTGTGTAGGATTTATGGGGATATATTGGCAAAAATATCATAAGTACATTTTCTTTCATTTATAATCACCTTAAAATAAGAACTTTCTTTTTTTTCTTTCGAATGGACACTTTATATATTTACGTAGGGAGCAGGTCCTTGTCTACAGAGATCACCATGTTGCACTGCCGTGTTTCTACAATAGCCCAGAAAGGACAAACCAAACACTGGCTCTAGATCGGGATGTTTGCGTTTTCGGGTTTTCGCATTGCCCTCCGTAGTTAGCAGCCACTCCGCAATGAGCCAGTGTCAGAAAAACGCTGATTTTTCAAGTAAAATTTGCTTTATTAGGTGTTTTTACCGGTTTAAATTCCAAGGTCTGTTTGTTTTAGAGACGAATAGACCTCTGCGGATAATTCAGCTCCCGTTAAAACCTCCTCAACAACAAGCACTGAAGGAATCATAACGGGGAGAAGTTGTAGCTGGTCGTGTTTTGTACAGTCCTCACCACTAGATGGCACTAAATCCTACACACTGCTCCTTTAATTGTAATAACAGATTGTGTTGTGCAACTTCACTTACCTGCCTGAGTTCACTTGCAGAAAGCTGAAGCCTCTCCTTCAACTTGCCTCCAACGGTCACGTCAAACAGCGCAGACCATTTACCATCTGCGAAAGTCACAGGCACTGAGATGACGATGCCATCTGGGAGGTCGTAGTCACCTGCCAGTACCCAAAGACAAATCACATTTCAACACCCAGCTTGGTCAGCCAAAATCAATGTCTAAAATCATGTTGTGTCATCACCTGGGCAAAGTACACCCACAGACAGGACCTCATCTGGACCACGAATGCCGTTCCAAGCCTTGAGGATCGCGAGGATCCCGTTGGCGAGCGACATTGCAGCTGCTCGGCACGTCTTTGAAGCCACAGCTGCACGCTGACGGCGCACCAAGTCTTGAAAGTCTGTTTCCAACCATTTCCTGGAAGAGAGAAGGAGATTATTGAGTTTTTGGCATCTCCCTGCATGGTGGGATGTTTATGATCACAGCAGTGAGATTGCCGAGCCAGATGTACTGTGCAATCAACACTGGCACAGATAGAAGTCACGGCAGGGTACGGTTTGGTGGGCAGATGGGTGGAGTTAACCAATAGAATCCATGCAAGGAATTTATATAAGCCATTAATCTAGGGGTTAAAGCACACACTTACTTACTGAAATTCTGTTCTGCGTGACAAACCTTTCATGGAGAATCTTTCTGGCTGGTTGGGAAAAGAAAGCCGGGCCTTTGATTGCCCCGTCATAGTTGAAAACTCTCGCCCTCTGCAGGTCAATGTAGAAACTACCACTGATGTTCCCCCACACTATGACGTTTGTAACATCTAGAGCAGAAGAGGTAGAGGTCAATAATCTTGCATAGAAAGTAAGCACATACAGTAGGTCCCTGAATACTACCTGAAGTCCTCACTCTCAGCTTCTTCGCAATGATTGCCTTGGCTTCGTTCTCCAGCTGTGTTGCCAGGGTGACGAACTGGTGGCTGTCGACGGATTGCGCGTTGTCCACAAGAAGCGAGCATCTCAGGTTGACGAACGAGTCGCCGGACACGATTACCTTCACGTCCTTTTTGGCTCTTGTGTCGATCAACCGTCCATACTCTCTGTACCTGTCTGAGATCGCCTTTATCTTCATGTCTTCGTCGTTCCCTGTGACATCACACCACCACTCGTCCAGCAGCAGAATGACGTCCGCTTCTTGGAAGGCCTGCTCCAGATCTGTATGAATAGTCACCTGTGGATGAATATAATTCAATGACTACTGTCCTTCTGATATGGTTTAAAAATTCTAAAAAACAAACAAATATACTTGATGGAGCAGACGTAGTGCCAGGTCCTCCGTCTCCATCTTCAGCCACTGCAATCCCTCCACATCTCCCTCCAGGTCCAGCAGGTGGAGGCTGATTGTCGAAACGTGTGGGAACACCTCAGCAGACAGCAGGTTGGGGATCAGGATGCTGCACGTCGGGCCGAGAGCACTGGAGAGGTGTGTAAAAATCTGTCAGCTGACACACATTTGAAATTCTCACAAAAATAAAAACCCTTACGAACCCACCTGCTGATCCATATGTGAAGGGGTTTGATAAGACTGACACGATACTGCTCCTCTGCTATAAGATTCAAGTTGGTTTCCAGGTTCTCTGCTGCAACACTCAGCATCATGTCTGTACCCATGTCTGATGTGATGCTGTAGTACTCCTACACAACCATGGGTTACGGTATGGTAAGGTATGGAAGTTTAGGGGTTATTTTAATGAGGGAAACCTAACATACACCCACCTGACAGTGCTCTAGGAAGTCACTGAACCCCCCCAAGAGCATCCCTTTGCCCCCTTGGTCCACCAGTTCCCTCCAAATCAGAGGAGACTGATGGTGTTTCCAGCCATTCCTCTTGCAGGTGGCCTCCAGCCAGTCCTGCCAGAGACGAGTGAGAGGTCACGCTGAGGTGGCACATAAGTGACAGGAGAATATGCTGATGATTTGTAATGCATGGTGAGACACCCCAGGTGAAAACCTGGTTTATTCATGCATTGGTCAATTTTGTGATATAGGGAGCTGTGCTTCCATAACACAGACTTTGTTGCTTCTCTTTGTTTTCTTTATGGCTGTTTGTATGATAATTTCTCTTTGTAGTCATTTTGTGTCTCTTTGTAGTCATTTTGTGTCTCCTTGTAGTCATTTTGTGTCTCCTTGTAGTTGTTTTGTGTCTCTTTGTAGTCATTTTGTGTCTTGTAGTCATTTTGTGTCTCCTTGTAGTCATTTTGTGTCTCCTTGTAGTCATTTTGTGTCTCCTTGTAGTCATTTTGTGTCTCCTTGTAGTCATTTTGTGTCTCCTTGTAGTCATTTTGTGTCTCCTTGTAGTCATTTTGTGTCTCCTTGTAGTCATTTTGTGTCTCCTTGTAGTCATTTTGTGTCTCCTTGTAGTCATTTTGTGTCTCCTTGTAGTCATTTTGTGTCTCCTTGTAGTCATTTTGTGTCTCCTTGTAGTCATTTTGTGTCTCCTTGTAGTCATTTTGTGTCTCCTTGTATTCATTTAGTCTCTGTAGTCATTTTGTCTCTCCTTGTAGTCATTTTGTGTCTCCTTGTAGTTGTTTTGTGTCTCTTTGTAGTCATTTTGTGTCTCCTTGTAGTCATTTTGTGTCTCTTTGTAGTCATTTTGTGTCTCCCTGTTGTAATTTTGTGTCTCTTTGTAGTCATTTTGTGTCTCCCTGTGGTTGTTTTGTGTCTCTTTGTAGTCATTTTGTGTCTCTTTGTAGTCATTTTGTGTCTCCCTGTTGTAATTTTATGTCTCTTTGTAGTCATTTTGTGTCTCCCTGTGGTTGTTTTGTGTCTCTTTGTAGTCATTTTGTGTCTCCTTGTGGTTGTTTTGTGTCTCTTTGTGGTTTTATGTCTCCTTGTGGTCATTTTGTGTCTCTTTGTAGTCATTTTGTGTCTCCCTGTGGTAATTTTGTGTCTCTTTGTAGTCATTTTGTGTCTCCCTGTGGTAATTTTGTGTCTCCCTGTGGTTTTGTGTCTCTTTGTGGTTTTGTGTCTCTTTGTAGTCATTTTGTGTCTCTATGAGGTAATATGATGTCTTTTTGGGTTGTTTGGGTTGTGCTGTGTTTTACTCATTTTGTGTCTGCTTGTGGTTGTTTTGTGTCTCCTTGTGGAGACTCCACTTCAGTAGCACTTACATTCACTAAACTTTCCACTTATATTTATTTATTTTATTCTCTTTTTACTGAGGGTTTTATACTTCTATCATTCACAGCCTGATCTATATAATATCAAAAACTTTCTATAGCTGTTGACAGTATTTTCTGATATATGGAGTGATAAAAGGAGATATCCAGACATTTCAGAAATCTTGTGAAGTAAAAAAATAATTGTCTGTGAGTAATCAACTGAGGAAGTCTCATGGTGGATGATACATTTTTCTGGATTTATATTACATTTGATATGTTTTTCTTATTTATTTATTTATTTTCCTCTTTTCTTTTCTTTTCTTTTCTTTTCTTTTCTTTAATTTTGTCTTTTCCCTGTATGTAAGAAGAAGATTATAGAAGATTACCTTCCATTCATGAGGGAGGATGGAGATCTTTTGGATCCTAAAGTTTGGCAGAGATCGCTGCAGACTGTCTGCTAATAGTTCCGCTTTGGCGTAATGTGGACAGTCTGTTTGTCCTGACGGGGTTAAAACCGGAAATTAGAATTGCGATATTTTTATACACAGCATGCTATATGATAGAAATAAATACATAAATTACTTAATTAATTTTACCAGAGAGCACAAATTTTGCCATTGTATCCGGATGGCGTTGGTTGCTAGGAGACCGTGGGTGTTGCGCGTATTAGAGTCCGTGTAGAAACAGTCAAACAAAATATAGCAAGCGGGAAAAACACGACACGTTATAATGACTGTGGTCTATTTAGTTTAGATAAATATTATATACAACACATTTTACATTCACAATGACCATTATTTATTAAATTTCGGCAGTACGGTGGCGTACCATGTTGACGGGCGGACTAAATATGGCGGCGCACACAGCACGAAGTAGCAGCGCATGCGAGCACTAGCTAACATGAACTGGACTTTCTATCTCTTTAATGTCACCTTGCTCTGTGTCTCTTCGCTAAACAACCTCTAATGCGAAATATTACACGGTCTAGCAAGTGCCATTTGTTTCCGTGGGACAGTTATTTGTACGAGTGGAGTAATAAGGTAGGGAGGCATTAGCTAGCTAACCTTAGCTAACGTGAGCTAGCCAGTGTTTCTGTTACTTGAAGGGGGCAGTTTGGTGACCTTGTTGACAGCTTAGTTAAAGTACTTTAATACGTTATATATGCTAACTAAATACACATTGAAACAGCATATGTGGCCAAGAATGTTAAGTGGAAACAGTCGGATAATTGTTAACTTCCGGTATATCCATTTTCAACCTTTATAACGTCCCCTGAGTTGTTAGAGAACAATGTCTGTCTGGGTGACAGCCATGAGACGGGTCCTGAGCTATTGCAGCCGCAGATCTCTGTGGCAACAGCGCAGTTTCCTGGTGACATCATCAGTCAAAGAAGACACATCCTATTCTAGTCAACAGTTAGCTCACATCTGGAGTACAAGACAGCAGACATGCTTAGATAAGAGTCTTGTTAGTTCAGTGAGGTTTTACTCACAGGGTAGAATCCACAGTGACGACTTGGACGACAAGGAGCAGCATCCTTCATCTTCACGGTCACAGTCTTTGCTGCCTGCTGAGATCCAATCTGACGAGAGGGCCTCAAGGCAGACGCGGAGGTGGTCGCCCTTCATTGACCATCTGGAAAGCTGTGCCTCCCCATCGGAGGTTTTAGACCTCACCTGTAAATACGCACCCACGTTTCGACAGGTCAGCAACTGCCTGACCCAGATGTGGTCCACCACGAAGAAGATGGCAGAAGAGCAGCGACGCTACGAGCTGCAGCTTATGTCCGAGCATCCTGCTTTTGACAAGCTACTGCAATTGGCCATGAAGGGAGCGGGGCACGTGTCCAATGAGGATGTGGCTTTTTCTCTGCTGTGTATGGTCAATCTGGGTGTTCCCCAACATAGCCGCGTGGTCCAGACGTTCCTCCGAGCCTGTCAGGTAGGCAGTCACAGAGTGTCAACCACCAAGAAAATATGTTTTCATTTTGTTTTGTTGTTTATCCAAATACATTTTTGTTGTTTGCTACCAGGAGAATCTGAATGACTTTGATGAGAGAACCCTGTCCGTTTTGGCCTCCGGTCTGGAACATATGGAGAACTGTCCCAATGTCCTCGCACTAAAGGATGGCATGAGGTTAGGAAATTATGCATACGGCTTAGAATTGGTGCAGAAAATAAACCTATAATCACTGTATTGATTCTTAACGCTGCTTTTTCAGGTCAACTTGCATTGATGTTTATTGTTGCTTTGTCCTAGGTTGGTAGTCGAGGCCCGTCTTCCCAGGATCAAGAATGTAAAGGCTCTCCAGACCATGATGCGCATTATGGGGAAAAATGTCCCACTGGACCTCAAGCAGAAACTGGAGGTTGGTTTATGCGTCTTGGTTCTGACATTATGAAAAATGACCTGTGTTTTTGTTTTTATGCCTCCACACCAGAGATAGCTGTGGCTGGAGGCATTATGTTTTTGGTGACAAATGTCCACTTGGACTCAGGGATGAACTGAATCAACTTTGGTGGTCGTAGGTGAAAGGCCAAGGTCACTGTGAGGTTGTCTGACTTATTCTCGTGAACGTGATATCTCAAAAACACCTTGAGGGAATATCTTAACATTTGGCACAAACATCCATTTGGACTCAACAACAAACTGATTAGATTTTGGTGGTTAAAGGTCAAGGTCACTGTGGCCTTGCATCCCTCCTATAAACATGAACATAATACTCAGAACATCTGAGGAGTTTCTTCAAAGTTGGCACAAACATCCTAATGGACTGCACAGTGATGACGTGTTTAGATTTTGGTGGTCAAATGTCCAAGGTCAAGGTCACTGTGACCTTGCTTCCGTCTCATTCTTGTGAACACAATATATCATGAAGGCCTTGAGGAATATCCTCAAATTTGGCACAAATGTCCAATTGACTGCACAATGATGACGTGATTCGATCTGTGTGGTCAAAGGTCCAAGGTCAAGGTCACTGTGACCTTGCTTCTGCCTCATTCTTGTGAACACAATACCTCAAGAAGGCCTTGAGGGAATATCCTCAAATTTAGCACAAACGTCCAAATGGACTGCACAGTGATGACGTGATTAGATTTGGGTGTCCAAATGTAAGGTCCAAGGTCAAGGTCACTGTGATCTTGCCTCTGTCTCATAATTGTGAGCACAATATCTCAAGAAGGCCTTGAGGGAATATCCTCAAATTTGGCACAAACGTCCACTTGGACTCAATGATGAACCGATTAGAAGTTGGTGGCCAAAGGTCAAGGTCACTGTGATCTCACAAAACTTTTTTTGGCCTTAACTCAAGAATTCATACACTAATTAAGACAAAGTTTCATTCAAATGTCTAATAGGATAAAATTTATGAGGTTATGACATTTTATATCCAAAAGATCAAAGGTCAGCTTCACTGTGACAACATAACATTATGCAAAAACACTTTTCTGGCACTGAATTGGTGACGCTAATCTCTGGTGTCCACTTTGAAACTGTGCTGATTGTATAGATCTCCGTGCTGCAGGCGGAAGATGTGTGTGAAGCATCCATGTTTTCACAGACATTATAGATCTAGTCTGCCACTGCAACTTAACCGGTGCGCGGAGGCATACAACCGAGAGGCGGTGATTCTAGTGTTCAGCTGTAACTGAATCCATTCCACGTTGACACTCACTCTGTACACTGCCTCTTCCAGAGAAAGGCTCTGTCGATGAAAGACCAGTTCAGCCTTCCCAACACCCATTACATGATCTCCACTATGGCTGTAATGGACTTGTACTCCAAACCGCTGCTGGAAGTCTGCAGTAAGGCATTTCAAGGTAAAAAAGTTAGTGTTAGTTTTGAATTATAGCAATTCTATCCTTGAATACTTTGAATTATTGTCTAATTTAAATGTGATATATTGATTTCTTATTACCAACCTGCTATCCCTCTTTGACTTTTTCCACGTCTGTTCTCTCTGGTAGAAAACCTCCATGGAACCCCCTTCAACAAATTATATGTAGTCCTGCAGTCCTGTAGGCAGCTACACTACAGAGACCTTGATCTGTTCACTGGAATTTCAGACTACGTCGCCTCTACAATAGACATATGGACTAAAAAACAGGTGCTGCAGCAGACTGCTGTTGTTTTGTTTGTTCTTTTTAGACTATGTAAGTAATCTTTATGTGTTAGTGCTATAATTATGATAGTTAAAGGAACAGTGTGTAAGATGTCGGGGGATTTAGTGGCATCTAGTGGTGGGGATTGCACATTGCAACCAGCTGAATCTTCCCTTGATTAGAATTCCTTTCGTATTCGTTGTTCAGGAGGTCTTTACAAGGATCTGCCCCCTTCTAAGGTTGCAGAAGCACGACGATTCTCACTTAATACACTAAAGAAAACATACTTATTGTATTCCATGTCTGATTTAAAAATAAGCCGGAATATTTGTGGAATATTCATTTTGATTAGCCATGGCAACAGATTAGTAAGACTCTTGTCTTTTTCTTTTCCCTCCTCCTGCTCAGGTGATCCTCTTTCTGTCTATGTTCGAGAACCTCACCTTCTGTCCCGCTGCGTTAATGGAGGCATTTGCCGAGAAGGTGATCACCAGTCCGGACGCTCTGACACTTCAAGACCTCCTCTGTGTCCTCAAAGTGTACTCCAATCTTAACTATGACCTGCAGCACCGAAGGCAACAGTAGGTCGCTCGTGTTCCTCCATTTAAGTTACAAGACTATTGGTTTCCAGGCTTGATGTCCTTGTTGGGTTTGATGTTGCTGTTCCAGGTTCCTGGATAGTCTCAGCACGGCTCTGGACTCCTATCTGCCCAAGATGTCTGGGTTTGAGTTGTTAAAGGCTGTGTATCACATGTGTCTGCTGGGCCACTTCCCCTCGGCACCACTGGAGCTTCTCCTGCAGAGCAGCACACTGGAGAAGTTTAACACCACAGGTGACACAATGAATCTCCTCTCAGCCTTTCCCTTCTTCATCTGCCACTTCTTTTATCTTTAATTCCCCTTGCTCTTTGTTAATGTTTTCCCTCTTTCTCCTCAGTACCCAAGTTTCTCCCAAACCAGGAGAAAATGTTCCAGACGGTGAACTTGTGCCTCCGCCTTGAGTGTCCTCCTCTCCCTCAGCCCTTGACACTCCCTCCATCTGTCCTGGGAGACCCCTTCCCCAGCAGATCATCAGTGAACCTGAATCTCTCAGAGGGCCTGCGGCGTGTGTTGGGAGACCAGGCAGACACAATGCTGCAGGAAATGGTGACGGTGGAGAACTTCTACCTCATAGGTAAAGACAGAATATTGGAGGAGAGAAGGTAAATTTTTGAAACTGTGACGCGAGCAAGCACTTTTGTTTTCTGTGTCGACTCTCAGATGCTGTGATAACCAAACCTCTGCAAAACCAAACCTCTGCAACAAGTGCAGGAGGAGAGTGTTCTCCAGCAGAGAGCAGTCAAAGGTAAGACGATAACACCCATAGTCACCAGACTGTTTTTTTTTGGTTTAATGTGCTTATGTCATGTTTGATGGAGTGTTTAGATGTGACAGCAGGTGGAGAGGATGTTTGGGCGTTGTGTTCTGACAATGTCGGGCATTGACGCATGCTGTTATTGCGTAAATCAAACATCTGATTCCACAACTTTGCATGCAACAAAGCACGTATAACTCACCTGTACTGAAATTAGCTCTTTCTCTCTTGAGAAACGAAACAGTACACAACTTAAGACATGGTCAAAAATGATGCATTAATGAATCTTAAACAGAAACAGAAATAAACTTTTATGTAAGTTTTGATATTTCATGAAGTTGTGTTGTCCACATCTAGTTTATTTAAAACTTTTGAAATTATTTAATTCTAATAATTCAATAGAACATTTAGAATAAGAAATTTAATTAGTTTAATGCTCTGTTGTTTAAAAACCAGGCCCAGTGTGTGACCCTGATCTGGGGAAACCACTGGTTGTTACTGGTTTGTGAATGTTAATTGTTGTTACTTTAATTTGTGTTTCTGTAATTTGAAGCATTCTCTGGCCAAAGAATTTCCTTCAGGTTAAATAAAGTTTAATTTAATTTAATTGATTTAATTTAATTTAGTTAATTCTAATTTTATTTAATTTGATTTAGTTAAATCTAATTTAATTTAATTAATCCAATTGATTTGATTTAATTTAGTTTAGTTTAATTTAATTTAATTTGGATAAAACTTTACTTTTTTAACTGTTTTATTCAGTGTGCACATCTAAAGTCATTTAATTTCATACAACATACATAGTCATCTCTCTCACTCTCTTTTTGTTACCACTAAAAACCAGGCCCAGTGTGTGACCCTGATCTGGGGAAACCACTGGTTGTTACTGGTTTGTGAATGTTAATTGTTGTTACTTTAATTTGTGTTTCTGTAATTGGAAGCATTCTCTGGCACAAGCATTTCCTTCAGGTTAAATAAAGTTTAATTTAATTGATTTAATTTCATTTAGTTAACTCTGATTTTATTTAATTTGATTTAGTTAAATCTAATTTAATTTAATTAATCTAATTGATTTGATTTAATTTAGTTTAGTTTAGTTTAATTTAATTTGGATTAAACTTTACTTTTTTAACTGTTTTATTCAGTGTGCACATCTAAAATCATTTAATTTCATACATCATACATAGTCATCTCTCTCACTCTCTTTTTGTTACCACTAAAAACCAGGCCCAGTGTGTGACCTTGATCCGGGGAAACCACTGGTTGTTACTGGTTTTTGAATGTTAATTGTTGTTACTTTAATTTGTGTTTCTGTAATTTGAAGCATTCTCTGGCCAAAGAATTTCCTTCAGGTTAAATTAAGTTTAATTTAATTGATTTAATTAAAAAAAAAATTAAAGATATTTTTTTAGGGCATTTTGCCTTTTTTGGACAGGACAGGTAAGCTTGAAAGGGGGAGAGATGGGGGGGGGGGTGACATGCATCAAAGGGCCACAGGCTGGATTCGAACCCGGGCCGCTGCGGCAACAGCCTTGTACATGGGGCGCCTGCTCTACCACTAAGCCACCGACACCCCTAATTTAATTTAATTGATTTAATTTAATTTAGTTAACTCTAATTTAATTTGATTTGATTTAATTTAATTGATTTAATTTAGTTAAATCTAATTTAATTAATCTAATTGATTTGATTTAATTTAGTTCAGTTTAATTTGATTTAATTTGGATAAAACTTTACATTTACTTTTATAACTGTTTTATTCAGTGTGTACATCTAAAGTCATTTAATTTCATACAACATACATAGTCATCTCTCTCACTCTCTTTTTGTCGCCACTGCACACAGATTTTTGTCTGAATTTTGGAAGTTGTGCCTTTAAATCAGTCATTCAGTGCTGTAACTAGTAGATTTCTTTTCTTTTTTTTTATTGCAATAAATATTAGCATCACAAAAGATGTTTTATATATTGAAATCATTAGGCCCAAACGTCCGTTACCTAAACCCTACTCCACCCTTTTCCCCTGTGAGCTCGCTCACCAGTTTGTAGTGCTGTATGGTACAGCTCGCATTCTCACCCCAATATTCACATGTATATCTATACACATAAAAATACATCACTTATAAAATAAAGTAAAATAAGATAAGGAAACCAATAGTAAATAATAATTAAAAATCTACAAAGAATAATAGATGAAAGGCAAGATATGTTGTGTTATACAAGATCTTGATAATAAGAATAAACTTTATTTATACAGCACCTTTCAAAGCACAGATGCAAAAAAACAGAGAAAATGAAATGAACTAAAAGCCAAACATTAGGCACACAGTAAAAACAGGGTAAGATGAATTAAGAAGGCCTAAAACATTGTCAGTGATTTGAAAGACGAGACAGGGTTTGTGGCTCTGATCTCCTCAGACAGGTCATCCAAAGTCTAGAAGCTTTGACTGCAAAGGATCTATCACCTTTGTGAATCAATCAATAATCTTAACAAAAAGTAAAAGTCAAAACCGTGGCAGCAGAATTTTGGTTGAGCAGAAGGTGGTAGAGGTATTTATAACTGATGCCACAGAGTGAGGAATTACAGTCATCTTATCGAGAACTTATGAAATCGTTGGTGACAGTTTCCAGTCATCAACGGAAACTGATGACAAAGAAATGATCTAATCTTTGAAATGTTTCTGAGATGTTTCAATGGAAAGATGATGATCACCAAGATCTAAAGTGATATTCACCCTCGCAGTCAGAGGTCTTCAATGGTTTTCAGGCCAAGCACCCCTGTGCTGATCAAAACCATCAAACAATAATTTGGCAGCCCCTCTGCAGTAACTTTGAAGACCCAGGATCAGGACTGACGATATCAACCAACTACTCTGAGGAGAGACAGGATGATTTAAGAACTTTGCAGATGAACCCCGCTGCAGTGAGAATTTTATCTTCTCCACGTCTGGGAAGGATATTTTATCACGTAACCAAGACGAGAGAGATGGTGTTTGCTGTTGCTATAAAAGGAGGATTCTCCTGTGAGCTGTCAGGGAGGTCAATCTTATTTGCATTCTTTAGGAAAACCAGTTTGAGGCAGAAAACACTGAAAATCTAATTAATAATCCCAAACTATAACAACCCTTCTTCAGTTAAATGTTAGAGGTGCAAAATACTCCAAGCACAGCATTGTCTGAAGAAAGTCACAGCCTGTTTTTTAGGTTTCAGGTTTTTGTCTTATAGCCAAACCAGTACTTTCACCCTGTCATGCCTGTACCTGAATTCAAATTTTGACCTTTTTAAAAATGAGACACTCCCTGTCTTCACGTCCTAGAATTGCAGTACTTTGCGAACCTCACTCTGGATTCTGCTACGGTACGTCCACTCCCCGCGGCCCTCTGGCTGTCAAGATTCGCCATCTGAAGATCCTGGGATACGACCCTGTCTTGGTGAGACTCGGACATGATCACAGTTTGAGTTTGGCTGAGCAGTTACTGATACTGATCCTGATCCTGTTCTTCCAGGTAACGGAGCAGGAGCTGCAGTCTGCGTCGGAGGAGTTCCTCAGGGAACGGGTTTTTCCAGAACACCAGCAAGCAGAGCAGCTGGGACCTTGAGGACAGTGTCAGACAGGTGCCAAGAGCCCTATCTGGTTCAGTGTTCTTAATCTGTGCAGTCATCATGGACACATTGGAAGCTTTGTACATAATTAAGAAGGAATAAATATACTGAAATATTTCAATGAATACGGTGTGGATAAGTTGAAGTGAAGAGAAAGTGATCTTCTCTTTGTGTTTGTAGAAGAGTCATTGGAGGAGTGACTGTGGGGGATGGAAAGAAAGGTTTAATCGCTTGTTTTTAATCACTGGTCCCAAAAAGCTCACAGAAACATGTTAATCTTGCTGAAGCTTGTGGCAGTTGATGAGTAAGAACCACGTCGCCGAATGAAACCAATAAAAGCAGCGTGTGCACTTCCAATAACTGCGCACAGAAAGTGCAAGGTGAGCAAGGTAAAGGTAGAGTCCCTTTGAAGCAGCCACGTCTGCAGAAAGCACGGCGCAGGAAAAAAACAGCAGAGGGAGGAAGACAGGAAATGGTGTAGATTGTTATTGTTTGAAGTGTGTGCCTCTCCTCTTTGTGTATCTGCCTCTCATCAGCCTCCATGATGTTAACGCTCCGAAAAACACCATGTGATGTTTCGTGTTTCTCAGAAAAAAAGAGCGCACAGACTGGAAGGAGATGTGTGATGTTAATCGGCGTGATATTTAAATCTTTTGCTCCAGAGTTCACAGAAGGCTGTAACGGCTTTTCTTGTCTGAACTTTGCGGTTTGCTATGATTCACAGGGCGCCACACAGCGAGCATACCCTGTTAATGTGGTTAGATCCCCTCATTCAGACACCACCGTGTTTCGACCACAGAGGGGTTCCAGCTATAGATCTGTGTGTGACAACCAGAGACAGTGAGTGAAACAGGAAGCTGGGTGCGTTATTTCTTTATTTTACACAACCACAACTCTAGGAGGAACTGCTACTTTTGCTGCGTCGACACAAAACAAGTAGTACTGACAACGAAATCGACCAAACAAACAATGATGTCCTGTTCATGGCGAGCTGCTATGACTGACAGGACAGCTGTGCACACAGTCACATGATGCACCGCTCGTCAGAAGTGTCGCGGTATAGGGATTTGAACCCCCCTTTTCTTCTTGCGGTCCCTGGTGGCCTTGGGTTTGGTGTTCATGTAGTCACACTGGGAATCTGACTGCCGCCACTTGGCCTGTAAGACACGTGAAGACAGTTAAACAGCAAGTCTGTGAAGGTCCGAGGGTCATAGTGTGTCACGGACTGCACAGACTCTCAACTTGTTGTGCCCAGGGGACACTTTTGCAAACTTTCAGGCTAAGGCAGTGAGACCAAGTCAGTGTTTTGCAAGTCTCTGCACACAAGTCCCTAGTCAAGACAGGCAAGTCCCAAGTCCTAAACTCTTGAGTTTCAAGTCCTAAACACGTCGTAATGCACGCTTTACCAAATGTAATGCCATTTTAACAACAGAGTAATGACATTTAAGAACTCATGTCCAAGTTCAAGTCAAGTTAACTCTCAAGTCATCAAAGTTGTGACTCAAGTCTGACTCGAGTCCAAGTCATGTGACTCTAGTCTACACCTTTAAGCCAGAGGCCAGTTAATAAACAAACATTTATAATATCACAGAGGTGGGTGCAAGTCTTTGCACAGTTCATAAACAAAGCCACAACGACAAGTCACAAGTAAGTCTCAAGTCTTTGCTCACAAGTCCAAGTCAAGACAGGCAAGTCCAAGTCGAGTTGTGAGTCTTTTTTTAATTTATCAAGTCGAGTCTAAAGTCATCAAATTTGTGACTCAAGTCCACACCTCTGAAATTGTGTATGTCAATTCGAGTCCCTGCTGTAAGTCAAGCAAGACAAGTCATGTCATTGCTCAGGTCCCAAGTCCTAAACTCTTGAGTTTCAAGTCCTAAACAAGTCAAAATGCAGGCTTCACCAAATGTAATGCCATTTAACAACAGAGTAATAACATTAAAACTCATGTTCAAGTCAAGTTGAGTCTAAAGTCATCAAAGTTGTGACTCAAGTCTGACTCGAGTCCAAGTCATGTGACTCGAATCCACACCTTTTAGCCAGGGGGGCAGCTGATAAGTCAAGTCCCAAGTCCTAAACTTTTTAGTTTCAAGTCCTAAACAAGTCAAAATGCACACTTCACCAAATGTAATGCCATTTTAACAACAGAGTAATAACATTAAAACTCAAGTTCAAGTCAAGTTGAGTCTAAAGTCATCAAAGTTGTGACTCAAGTCTGACTCGAGTCCAAGTCATGTGACTCGAGTCCACACCTTTTAGCCAGGGTTAAGTTAACAAACATTAATTATATCACAGAGATGGGTGTAAGTCATTGTTTTGCAAGTCTTTGCACAGTTCATAAACAAAGCCACAACCACAAGTCACAAATAAATCTCAAGTCTTTGCACACAAGTCCCAAGTCAAGACAGGAAAGTCAGAGTTCAGTTGTGAGTCTTTTTTTAATTTATCAAGTTGAGTCTAAAGTCATCAAATTTGTGACTCAAGTCCACACCTCTGAAATTGTGTATGTCAATTCGAGTCCCTGCTGTAAGTCAAGCAAGACAAGTCATGTCATTGCTCAGGTCCCAAGTCCTAAACTCTTGAGTTTCAAGTCCTAAACAAGTCAAAATGCAGGCTTCACCAAATGTAATGCCATTTAACAACAGAGTAATAACATTAAAACTCATGTTCAAGTCAAGTTGAGTCTAAAGTCATCAAAGTTGTGACTCAAGTCTGACTCGAGTCCAAGTCATGTGACTCGAATCCACACCTTTTAGCCAGGGGGGCAGCTGATAAGTCAAGTCCCAAGTCCTAAACTTTTTAGTTTCAAGTCCTAAACAAGTCAAAATGCACACTTCACCAAATGTAATGCCATTTTAACAACAGAGTAATAACATTAAAACTCAAGTTCAAGTCAAGTTGAGTCTAAAGTCATCAAAGTTGTGACTCAAGTCTGACTCGAGTCCAAGTCATGTGACTCGAGTCCACACCTTTTAGCCAGGGTTAAGTTAACAAACATTAATTATATCACAGAGATGGGTGTAAGTCATTGTTTTGCAAGTCTTTGCACAGTTCATAAACAAAGCCACAACCACAAGTCACAAATAAATCTCAAGTCTTTGCACACAAGTCCCAAGTCAAGACAGGAAAGTCAGAGTTCAGTTGTGAGTCTTTTTTTAATTTATCAAGTTGAGTCTAAAGTCATCAAATTTGTGACTCAAGTCCACACCTCTGAAATTGTGTATGTCAATTCGAGTCCCTGCTGTAAGTCAAGCAAGACAAGTCATGTCATTGCTCAGGTCCCAAGTCCTAAACTCTTGAGTTTCAAGTCCTAAACAAGTCAAAATGCAGGCTTCACCAAATGTAATGCCATTTAACAACAGAGTAATAACATTAAAACTCATGTTCAAGTCAAGTTGAGTCTAAAGTCATCAAAGTTGTGACTCAAGTCTGACTCGAGTCCAAGTCATGTGACTCGAATCCACACCTTTTAGCCAGGGGGGCAGCTGATAAGTCAAGTCCCAAGTCCTAAACTTTTTAGTTTCAAGTCCTAAACAAGTCAAAATGCACACTTCACCAAATGTAATGCCATTTTAACAACAGAGTAATAACATTAAAACTCAAGTTCAAGTCAAGTTGAGTCTAAAGTCATCAAAGTTGTGACTCAAGTCTGACTCGAGTCCAAGTCATGTGACTCGAGTCCACACCTTTTAGCCAGGGTTAAGTTAACAAACATTAATTATATCACAGAGATGGGTGTAAGTCATTGTTTTGCAAGTCTTTGCACAGTTCATAAACAAAGCCACAACCACAAGTCACAAATAAATCTCAAGTCTTTGCACACAAGTCCCAAGTCAAGACAGGAAAGTCAGAGTTCAGTTGTGAGTCTTTTTTTAATTTATCAAGTTGAGTCTAAAGTCATCAAATTTGTGACTCAAGTCCACACCTCTGAAATTGTGTATGTCAATTCGAGTCCCTGCTGTAAGTCAAGCAAGACAAGTCATGTCATTGCTCAGGTCCCAAGTCCTAAACTCTTGAGTTTCAAGTCCTAAACAAGTCAAAATGCAGGCTTCACCAAATGTAATGCCATTTAACAACAGAGTAATAACATTAAAACTCATGTTCAAGTCAAGTTGAGTCTAAAGTCATCAAAGTTGTGACTCAAGTCTGACTCGAGTCCAAGTCATGTGACTCGAATCCACACCTTTTAGCCAGGGGGGCAGCTGATAAGTCAAGTCCCAAGTCCTAAACTTTTTAGTTTCAAGTCCTAAACAAGTCAAAATGCACACTTCACCAAATGTAATGCCATTTTAACAACAGAGTAATAACATTAAAACTCAAGTTCAAGTCAAGTTGAGTCTAAAGTCATCAAAGTTGTGACTCAAGTCTGACTCGAGTCCAAGTCATGTGACTCGAGTCCACACCTTTTAGCCAGGGTTAAGTTAACAAACATTAATTATATCACAGAGATGGGTGTAAGTCATTGTTTTGCAAGTCTTTGCACAGTTCATAAACAAAGCCACAACCACAAGTCACAAATAAATCTCAAGTCTTTGCACACAAGTCCCAAGTCAAGACAGGAAAGTCAGAGTTCAGTTGTGAGTCTTTTTTTGAATTTATCAAGTTGAGTCTAAAGTCATCAAATTTGTGACTCAAGTCCACACCTCTGAAATCATGTATGTCAATACAAGTCCCTGCTGTAAGTCAAGCAAGACAAGTCATGTCATTGCTCAGGTCCCAAGTCCTAAACTTTTGAGTTTCAAGTCCTAAACAAGTCAAAACGCAGGCTTCACCAAATGTAATGCCATTTTAACAACAGAGTAATAACATTAAAACTCATGTCCAAGTTCAAGTCGAGTATAGACTCTGAAGGGCTCGTTCCTCTGTACAGACCGGGACATTTTTCATGGTTTGTGTATTGATGAAGCCACTGACACTATTACAGAGTATATTAAATTCTGTGTGGATTGTGTTGCTACCAAAAAAGTTATCACACTCTATCCTGACAACAAGCCATACATCACCAGAGAATTAAAGGACTGTATTAACCGGAAAAAAATGGCTTTTAGGAATCATGACCGGCTGGGGTTAAAATCAGTGCAAAAGGAGCTAAATCAGTTGTTAAGGGAGGCAAGAAGGAAGCACAGGGATGTCATTGAACAGAACGTTGCCTCTATGGACTCTAAAAAACTCTGGGTCTCCATTAAAGCTGCTACCAACATGACAACACACAGGAAGTGCCTCATAACGTGATGAGCCGAGTAAAGCAAATGAACTCAGTGATTTCTTTCTCAGGTTTGATACATAGGACTTCTCTTTGGAATGCAATAATGCACTACAGTCAATTACATCTGTCGACCCTGGTTCAAGGTTGACTGACTCTCCCAAAAATTCACGAAAGTTGTGTTGAGCCTGTACCTGGACATCCTATTGTAGCTGGTACACAATCCCTGACTGAACCTATATCCAAATACATCGATGTACATATAAAGGTCTCCCTTTTAGTAAGCTCTTAAGGGCCAGAAGAGTTTGTAGCACTGATGCCTCTTTTGATAAACAAGCCAAGGAACTGTGTGATCGTTTTTTAACTAAAGATTATGATGAAAGGGCTCGTAATGAGTGTATGCTCAGGGTGAGACAAATTGACAGGAGATCTTTATTGACCTCCAAGACCCGTCCTTCAAAAACTCTTGGTCTGGTTTGTGCTACCACCTCCTCTAACATCTCGGCTGATATAAAGAATAGTTTGAGGCAGCGCTGGTGTATTCTAGCGGGTGATCCACACGTTGGTCATTTATTTAAAGAGCCTCCAGTTTTTGCACACAAACGTGCTCCAAATTTAAGAGACCAGCTAGTCAGAGCAGATTATTTTGTACGTCCTCAGCACTTTTTATCCTCTCTACCTTAGGGTAATCATCCATGTCGAAGTTGTGTTCACTGTAATGCCACGATTAAAGGTGACAGTTTCTCTCATCCCCATTCAGGACGTAAATACCCCATTAAGAGTAGGATCTCATGTAAAATTTGTTGTCTATCTTCTAAAATGCCCATGTGGGGTGTGCTATGTTGGCAGGACTAAGAGAGAACTGAAGATTCGTGTCTCAGAACACAAGAGCAGCATCAGGAATAGAGATGAGAAATCATCTGTGGCAAGACACTTTAACACTGCTGGCCACGATGTGTGCTCCTTAAGATTTCAGGGCATTGAGGAAGTGAGACCTGTGAAGAGAGGGAGGGATAGAGAGAGAAGGCTGCTACAACGTGAAGCCTTCTGGATCCACACGTTGCAAACTGAACACCCGAAGGGTATGAATGAGGAACTTGTAGTGTTGTTTATCACTGTTTTTCATACCGTTTGCCCTGTCAGTATGCCTGATAGGGTTTAAGATGTATTAAGACATATTTACATTTGATCTATTCTATGCCTTAGTCTGCCATGTTTGTGTGCCTTACTAGAATGTATGCCTTGTTATATATAGGAGGGGTTACCGTGATATCAGCACTTTATGTCCTTTTACTGTGCTGAGTGACTTTAGCTCCTTTTATTATGATGCTCTACTGCTTTGACCTGTGGCACTTTATATATTTTTTACTGTACCATTTGCTGCTAAGTAGTATTTTGTATTTTTTTTTTTTTTTTTTTGGGTGTACTCAGTAAGTATTTATTACTCTTAGGTGGTGCGTGTTGTCTTTCTTCATAGAAGGCACAGACTTCCCAAATGCAAACTGAACCGTTTCAAACACTCATTCATTCCTAATTCCATCAAAGTGTTAAATAGCTCGTGAAGACTGGGAAATACTGGGGATTGTGCAATAACTTGTGCAATAACTTGTGCAATAACTTGTGCAATAACTTGGGTTGGGAAATATTGGGGATTGTGCAATAACTTAGTGTTTTGTCTGTTTTTCACATTTTGTCTGGTTTGTCTTATGGGTGTGTATGTTTGCCATTTCCTGTGTCTTTGCTGATTTGTGTATATTTATTGTCTGCAAGGCAGATGGTGTATGCACTCTAGTCCACGACAAATTTTCCCTACGGGACAATAAAGTATATTCTATTCTATTCTATTCTATTCTATTCTATTCATAAACAAAGGCACAACGACAAGTCACAAGTAAGTCTCAAGTCTTTCCACACAAGTCCCAAGTCAAAAAAGGCAAGTACAGAGTCAAGTCCTAAACTCTTTAGTTTCAAGTCCTAAACAAGTCAAAATGCTCGCTTTACCAAATGAAATACCATTTTAACAACAGCAATAACATTAAAGCTCATGTTCAAGTCAAGTAAGTCTCAAGTCTTTGCACACAAGTCCCAAGTCAGGACAGGCAAGTCCAAGTAGAGTTGCAAGTCTTTTTTTGAATTTATCAAGTTGAGTCTAAAGTCATCAAATTTGTGACTCAAGTCCACACCTCTGAAATCAAATATGTCAATACGAGTCCCTGCTATAAGTCAAGCAAGACAAGTCATGTCATTGCTCAGGTCCCAAGTCCTAAACTTTTGAGTTTCAAGTCCTAAACAAGTCAAAACGCAGGTTTCACCAAATGTAATGCCATTTTAACAACAGAGTAATAACATTAAAACTCATGTCCAAGTTCAAGTCAAGTCGAGTCTAAAGTCATCAGAGTTGTGACTCAAGTTTGACTCGAGTCCAAGTCATGTGACTCGAGTCCACACCTTTTAGCCAGGGGGCAGCTAATAAGTCAAGTTCCAAGTCCTAAACAAGTCAAAGTGCTAGCGTCACCAAATGTAATGCCATTTTAACGTAAGAGTAATAACATTTAAGTACTCGTGTCCAAGTTGCAAGTGTTTTTTGAATTTATCAAGTCAACTCTAAAGTCATCAAAGTTGTGACTCAAGTCTGACTCGAGTCCAAGTCATGAGACTTGAGTCCACACCTTTTAGCCAGGGGCCAGTTGATGAACAAACATTAATAATATCACAGAGGTGGGTGCAAGTCAAGACAGGCATGTCCAGAGTCAAGTCCCAAGTCCTAAACTCTTTAAGTTCAAGTCCTAAACAAGTCACAATGCACGCTTCACCAAATATAATGCCATTTTAACAACAGAGTAATAACATTTAAGAACTCAAGTCCAAGTCATGTTGCAAGTGTTTTTTGAATTATTGAGTCGAGTGTAAAGTCATCAAAGTTGTGACTCAAGTCTGACTGGAGTCCAAGTCATTTGACTCGAATGCACACCTCTGGGCCATGGGCTAGTTAATAAACAAAGCCACGCCGACAAGTCACAAGTATGTCTCAAGTCTTTGCACACAAGTCCTAAGTCAAGCGAGGCTAGTCTCGAGTCAAGTTCCAAGTCAAGACTCACAAGACCCAAGTCCTAAATTAGTCATGATGCACTCTTCAACCAAGTAATAATATTTATATTTACAAATTGGCGTATAAAGTGTGTGACTCAAGTCCAAGTGAAGCCACGAGTCACTGGTGTAAAGTCCAAGTCAATTTGCAAGTATTTTTTAATTTAAAGTCATCAAAGTTGTGACTCAAGTCTGAATTGAGTCCAAGTCATGTGACTCGAGGGTCCACTTGATAAAGAAACATTAATATTTATCACAGAACTGGGAGTAAGTCACACGTGCAAGTCACAAGCAAGTCTCAAGTCTCAACCTTCAAGTCTCAAGCAAATTCCAAGTTACTGTGGTGAGGATCAAGCAGATGTGGGACCAAGTCATTGTTTTGCAAATCACAAGTCTTTGCACTCAAGTCCCAGGTTAAGAAGGCAAGCACCAAGTCAAGTCCCAAACCCTGCAAGACCCCAACCCTTGCATTTCGAGTCCTAAACAAGTCCATTTATTCGTTAAAACAAGTGTGCTGAGATACATTTTCACAGCATGATAACACCATTAATACGACAGCAGAATGAATTTTGTATGTTTCTGTCCCGTCTTGTCATATTTAACTTATCTCATGTTGCTGAATATGTTTAATTTTCTCTTCCTAAATTGGCTCGGGTGAAGGTTTCAAGTATTTTCATCATGATTTAGACAGTGTTTGGTGACATATCGATACAGTCCAACGAGTCAAAGTGTTGGTTAGGAATGACTGTTGTTGCGTCATTTAAATATTGTGTTTGCTTTTATACATAAGTTCCAAACTCTCTTCACTTTGTCTTCACCTGGTGTTTGTATGTGTTGGAGGAATATCTTACCCAGATGATGATGGCGACGATGGTGACAATTATTCCATAGACACCAAGAACTACAATCCCCAGAATCCAGATCCAGAGGAATCCATCTTTTTGAGCCTCTTCTATGACAGGCTTTATATCGTAGGTTTTATTGACTGTGCACTGGTGTCCTGGAGGAAATGTATTCAGGAAGCAGTCAGTGAACTGGGCTATATGCACACAACATTATAAACGTGCCTGTTTACTCTTAGATATATTTACCTTTTACACGTACCAGGATGCTCAAAGTACTGGGCACTTTTCTGAGGGGAGGCGGGAACATGATGTGAACCTCACATCTGTAAATACCGTAGCTACTGGCTTTCACGCCTGTGAGCGTGAAACTGGCTGATTTGTTTTCTGTGTTCTCCTGCAGCTCCACACCCACCCCGGTGTTTGACTGCTCACAGTCTGATGTCGCGTTGTTACGCATGCACGCAAGCTTGTAAATCACCTCTTCTTCCTTGAGGAGGTAAAATGTCACGTCTTGGGTGGTCAGCTTCGGACAGGGCACTGACACGTTGTGTCCGGGGGCTACGCAGGCGATTTTCAGCTGGTCTGGAGAGAGAAATGAGGGAATGATTCAAGGGGTGATTGGATTCTGATTCCTAGTCTTACACACTGTGACAGCTCTTGGGCAGCTAAGTTGTTTACTCATGTTGATTGCTCATTAGGTCTTCTTCTTGTTTGTAATAAATACACAATAATGTAATAATGATAGAGGAAGCTCGGGCACCGAATGTGTTCGGTACGGCACTGCTCACACACAGTCTAATGGCGGATCTTCGTGCTCTCTTAGGTGTCATGAACTAAGGAAACAGAGTAACAGTGTTGTGTTTGCTGTTGCAGTAACCCCAGCCAGGATGCTCGTGCCTGTGTCTGTAACCAACACCTTTGCAAAGGAAATGGTGTCTCACAGCTACAGCTCCTGCAACATATTGTTTTATTTGCATTTAACTCCCCTAAACTGAAATTCAGGCTTTGAAGCTCACCGTTTCACAGCAGCTCTGCCCCCACGCGGAATGTGTTCACTAGCAGCACATCTGAGCACATTTACCTCTGTTACCTCACATTTCACATGAAAGACAGGTATTTGCAATGTGCGTGGCATTCGTGAGTCAATCAGTGTCTGACTCACGGATGCCACTCACGAGGTGTTGGTGGTGTTTAGTGTGATGTAGTGATGAAATGAATGCTCTCTGTGGTTCATGTAAACAGTCGTTCTTAAGACTGTGAGTTCATCTGAGGTACTGCTCCACAGACAAACAGCCTCCAAGTGACAGTATATTCACTTATTGTATGTTCCTGAACTGAACCAGAAGGTACTTTGTATCAGAGGTGGGACCAAGTCATTGTTTTGCAAGTCACAAGTAAGTCTCAAGTCTTTGCAAGTCCCAATTCAAGTCCCCTACTCAAGACTGACAAGTCCGAAGTCACGATAGGAAAATCCTAAACTCATCTGGAGAGTAGTTACAGTCAGAGGCGGGGCCAATTGATTATTTTGCAAGTCATAAGTAAGTCCCTAGTCTTTGCACTCAAGTCCCAATTCAAGTCCCAAGTCAAGACTGACAAATTCTAAACTTAACTGGAGGATAGGTACCATTAGAGGTGGGACCAGGTCATTGTTTTGCAAGTCACAAGTAATTCCCTAGTCTTCGCAGTCAAGTCCCAAATTCAAGTACCAAGTCAAGACTGACAAGTCCAAAATCAAGACAGACAAATTCTAAACTTAACTGGAGAGTGGTTACAATCAGAGATGGGGCCAAGTCATTGTTTCGCAAGTCACAAGTACATCTTAAGTCTTTGCACACCAGTCTAAATTCAAGTCTCAAGTCAAGACAGACAAATTCTAAACTTAACCGAAGTAGTTACAATCAGAGATGGGGCCGAGTCATTGTTTTGAATGTCACAAGTAAGTCTCTAGTCTTTGTACACCAGTCCAAATTCAAGTCCCAAGTCAAGATGGACAAATTTTAAACTTAACCAGAGAGTGGTTACAGTCAGAAGTGGGAGCAAGTCGTTGTTTTGCAAGTCACAAGTAAGTCCCTAGTCTTTGCACTCAAGTCCAAATTCAAGTCTCGAGTCAAGACTGACAAAATCTACACTTAACCGAAGAGTAGTTACAATCAGATGTTGGACCGAGTGATTATTTTGCAAGTCCCAATATAAGTCCCAAGTCAAGATAGACCAATTCTAAAGGTGAGACCAAGTCATTGTTTTGCAAGTCACAAGTAGGTCTCAACTCCTGGACTGAAGTCTAAATTCAAGTCCCAAGTCAAGATAGACAAATTTTAAACTTAACCGGAGAATAGGTACAATCAGAGGTGGGACCAAGTGATTGTTTTGCAAGTCACAAGTAAGTCTCTAGCCCTGCACTCAAGTCCCAATTCAAGTCTTAAGTCAAGACTAACAGGTCCGAAGTCAAGTCCTAAACTTTGAGTTTTTAGTCCTCACAAGTTATGATGCGCTCTTCACCAAATGCAATGTCATTTTAACAACAGGAAATTTAAAAGATTAAAAAATGTCAGAGGTGGCGCAAAGTCATTGTTTTCCAAGTCACAAGTAAGTCTCAAGTCTTGGGTCCTTAACAAGTCATAATGCACTCTTCACCTAATGTAATGCTATTGTAACAACAGTAATAAAATATTAAATTTACCAAATTAAAAAATGTCTATAACTTTCTCTTCCCAAATTGGCTTTTTGGGAAGGTTTTAAGTATTCGAGTCAAGTCTCAGCGTAGTCACAAGTCATTGGTGTTAAAGTCCAAGTCGAGTTGCAAGTCTTTTTTGATTTTGGCAAGTGGGGTCAAAAGGCATGTTACTCAAGTCCACACTTCTGGTTACAACACCACTGCTGTTATTTATCAAACCTGTGGATGGTTGGGCGTCACTTACTCCTGCGGGTGCTAACCTCAGTGATAAAAGACGAAACCAAACACTGTAATCACCCATGTACAGTTAAACCTCTTTAAATTACTTCTAATAGTTATTACTGATCTTTATGAGTGTATCAATGACTAAAAGCTAGAGTTTATGTGTTGCAATAAAGTCCACAGCTTACCTTTGCAGACGCTCTGAGACTCGGTGGCATGGGAGAACCTGCACCCCAGGAGGATCACGAACACCCAGCAAGCTCTCATCTTGAAGTCTTGCACCGCGAGTGTGAACTTGCCTCCAGCAGAATGATGCCCTCGAGGCTCTCCCTCATCACCTAGAATGTCAAGCACCTCCAGCAAAGTGCATTAACTGTGTGCCGCAGAGAAATCTGATCCAGTACTCCGATATCATCAACCCCGGTTCCATGCATGCGTACGCTCCCCCGACTGTAATGCATCATCTCCTCATTGTGCCTCTGACTGAAACACTCCCACGGTGCTGCATGACTGAACCTCGTACATCCTCTCATGAGGGAAAACATCCTGTGACAGAAAACGCCTCCTCTTCTGAAGTTTCCGCTCGCTCCCAGAGGTTGTGACCTTTGATCGTGTTTTATTCATGTAGGGTTATGTGTTTGTTGAGACTAAATGTCATCGCAGGGCCAATCTGTTCCTGTCAAATGAGCTAATTACTAATATTGCATCATTATGTGGAGACAAAACCCACAAACAACCTTTCATTGCTGATTATAAACAGTTTAAAGCTCCTGGTTACCTGCAAGCACTTGTTTGAGGGTTAGTCCACTACACTAAATATGGATAAGTAGCCCATACCATCTCTGCTGTTTAGCTATGTTGCAGCCCCAGTTCGAGGTGGAGTGAGCGACAGAAAGTGCAATGACCCAGTGTGCCATCTGTCAAGGTTTACTGAACACAATGATAAGCACCAAGCAGGTTTCATCTGATGTGTGTGTGACTGCCAAAGCAAATATGTAACCCACACACTGGCTAGCAGAGAAAGAAGACATGTTTCAGAGAACCTGCCTGAATGCTTTATGATAATCTGAGTAAGACACATGTACAGATAGTGGCACAATATATTATAATACCAGCTATAAGATAAGGTTACCCTATTCCACTGGTGTTGGACCTTACACTGATTTAAAACCCATGGCTGTACCCACAAAATGGGGTTGAGTTGAAGGCGCAGTGGCTTTCCTCGTCCACTTGATGGCGACAAAGCATTTTATTTTGATCAGCTTGTTGATAACTGTTTTCACAGCTCCAATCAAAGAAAACAGCCATCAGCTATGGTTTTACATAAACTGTAACCACATATCACTTTGCTTCAGTGTATTTCATTGTTCTATACAGGTTTAACTGCCCAGGGCAGGGATTAGAGAGACCACTAGAGGATATAACAATTTACTATGTGTGCCAACACATGGTGACACATTCATGGGATGGTGAAGTAGGGATTATAGCATTTCTAAAATGTTGTGTCTAATTCAGAATATGCACGAGGGTGGATTGGTGGGTTAGTAATGCCATGTGTCCATATGGATAACACGCAATAATCTCCTAATCTGGAACAAGTCCCTTTTGTTTGGTGTGTTTGGCTGTAGGAGAGCATCAGTAAGAAACCCACAGAGCTCAGAGGTCCAGTGGGGTTACATGTGGCTGCACCCAGTTTACTATATACTTATTTTAAATATATTTTATCCATTTATTATTACGGTTTATCCTTTATTTGGAAAGAGCAATAGAATGTATTATTATTATTAATATTAATAACAATAATTTATTTATGCATTTAAATAAGTAAATAAGGAAATAAATTAAAATAATGATAATAATAACAATAATAATGATTTATTTATATATTTAAATAAGTTAAAATAAATAAGTGACAAAATGGAAGAATAAGACAGCTAAAAAGAGATTAATACAAATACATAAATAAATACACAATAATAATCATAAACACAAAATAAAATAAAAAATAGAATAAAACATAAAGAAATTAAAAAATGAATAATAATAATAATAATAATAATTTATTTATGTATTTAAATAAGTAAAATGAACAAGTTAGAATAAATAAATAAATTAATTAATAAGTGATGAAATGGGAGAATATGCCAGCTAAAAAGAGAGATTAATAAAAGAAAATAAAGAAATAAATACACAATAATAATCATAAACACAAAAGTAATAAAATAAAATAAAATAAAATAAAAAAATAGAGAAATAAATTTAGAAAAAAATAAAATAATAATAATACATTTCATTTAAAGGCACCTTTCTAACACCCAAGGACACTGCACAATAATTTGAAAAAATACAGAACAAACAATGAAACCACAAGAATACACAATATTACTTAAAAACAGATTAAGATTAAAATTAAAATTGAAAGAAATGTATTTATGTATTTATTTACTTCCACTGACTAGAGCAGTTGTGGCTGGATGCAGATGCTGCCTTCACTGTTCCTCCAATTTCCCTACATTCATGGACATCCAATCGTTTTAACGCATTACTCAGCAGAAAACTGCGCTGAAATGTGTCAGCTGGTCAACTCTTACAACACTGCAATTTATCTCTTTTCCCAGTCTGCCATTTTCGTGTTAGCCATTAGCTAATCCATCCCTCTTCTCTGATATAACACTCTGATATAAGATATTTCTCACAGGCCATGAAGGCAGCGTGAGCTTCTGGGCTGGACAGGAAACGACGGAGCCGCGCAGCGTGTCTCCTCCAGCAGCAGCTCCGGGAGAGAAGAATGGGAAAAGGGGACAGGGTTGTGCATGTAGACGAGGCAGCGTGAGAACATGAGGATAACGGGAAGCCTTTAGCTCATTTCTTATTTTAATTAGACATTTAAACACATCATATCAGGAGCGTTTCTTCTTCTCCTCCTCCCTGAGGGCTGGGATATTTGCTCCCATTGGAGAACACTGGAGAGGAGAGGAGCCTCTTTGTGAAGCCTTTTTTGACTGTAAGTGGATTTTTCTTTACTGTTCCGATATGTTTCTAATCTCTGAGGCATTTTTCTCTCCTTTAAATCAAAGTCTAAAAATGTCAGTTGTGGATACATGACATTATAATGCCAGCCCATCCTGGGTTGTGTCCTCCGTTAAGGAGACGTAGGAGCCACACTGTGTGTTTACCTCACTTCTTAACCACAAGCACCACTTACAAAGAAAGAAGCTGTTGTGGATGAATGTTACCTGTTGGGGAAAGTGTGAAGCTGGGTGTGTGAATGGGGGTGTTTGTGCCCCCCTATGCGGCCATTGAACAATCCCTTTCTTGGGGAGAAAGGGCGTGCAGCGTTTGGGCCGACTGGGAAAAGAGCCGCAGCTTTAATGGGAGAGGCAGTTGAACGTGAGCCCTATTGTTATGTCACTGTACACTTATTTTCAACATATTTAATACATTTATTATCATGACAAGGTATTTCCAGCCTCATTTTCCTCCCCTGCATCTGACTGAGCAGAGATGCATAGTCTCCACCCTGTTACAGCGCGAGGAGGCTATCAGCTTTTGGTAATGGCCGATGGTTTTGTCGTGCTAATGTTTATATCTTTCTGGTGCCTTTTTCTTTATTTAAATACCGTGTTTAACATCTGTGAAACCTGTTAAATAAGTGGTAGTGTGTGTTAGTGTGGCTGGGTTGGGCTCATTAGCAGAGACCTCCTTCACTGCCGCTGGTGAACAGTGTTTTAATTCCCTTTGTTGGATGACGCCGCCAGTTTGACCAGTGGCTATCATCAATTTAATGCTAGCATCAGTGTTAGCCTGGAGGATTAGCATAAGTCTGAAACTAGGTTTGTGTGTCTTGGTGAAGACTGGTGGGAAAGTTGGACTTTACTGCAGCTTTACTGGCATAAACAAGTAGAAGTGCTCAAGTAACCAAGCTGTGTTTTCCTCTGAAGGCTCAGACATTAAAGGGACAGTTCAGATTTTTTTGAAGTGTTGTTGTATGAGGTATCTGTCCATAGATAGTAAATATTACATACAATAGATGTCAGTTTTTGCACCCTCAGTTTGGAAAAGCACACTAGAGTCTGGCATAGAAGCCAAGCAATCTACTGCTGTGGATGGGGGCCAGCGACAAAACGCATTTTCAGCCATGTTTACACGAAAACGATCTGCTGAAAACGGAATCATTTCTTATTTTCGTTTTGAAAAAAAGTTCCGCATTCAGACGACAACGTTTCGCTAACAATTGCTGTGCTCACGGATCCCCAAAAGTGACCAAAAACGCTGCAGTATACATGCCAGGTCAGTAGTTATGAATGGAACAAGTGGTGATGTATAAACCAAAAAAAATGGCAACCACATGACCATTTTCCTGGATGGACGATGAGGTGGTGTTGCCAGCGTTGATAAATTCAATAGGGTGAGCAGCACAAACAGAGCTCAGGAGTCCGCCATTGTTGCTATGGTCGACTTTCTCGCGCATGCCTTGTGACTGGAACCGTAATGCGCATGTGCGAAAAGTCTCCGTTTTCAGAGGAACTGCATATTGCAAGTTAACATGACAACTTTGATGGTGGTGCTGTTTCCAAAAAATTGCACTCTGGAACCCGTTTTCAAAACATCGTGTTTTCAAGCACCCAGAACGCTGCTGTCATGTAAACAATCAGCCAAAACGCAACTAAAGTTTACTGTTTTCAGTTGAAATCGTTGTTGTATAAACGGGACCTTAGCCACCTAAAAAAAAAGTCCTACCCTAAAAAAAATCTAAGGGTGCATTCACATTTGGATAGTCCGGGGACTCGGTTTGGTTTATTTGGTTTGGTTCACCTTCACACTGCAGTTTTTAAAGCGGAACAAACCGCCTGGGCAATGTCATGCAGTTACAACAGCTGCTCGTTTGGGGGCAGTATTGCCCCAAAACGACCACTGGCCAGGACCGAAAACGTAAATCCATCCCCTTCAGCCGGCTTGGTCACCACAAAAACACCAAAATGCACTGTACTCTACGCCACTTCCTCTCTTTGGTTCACTTCCTCTCTTTGGTTCGCTGGATAGTCCGTTTGCATTTCCCACTGTAAGCGAACTGCACCAGGGTTCACTTGCAAGTGAACCGAGACCCCCAGTTTTCAAGCTGACCAGGGTTCGCTCGTTTGGTGTTCGAATGAGTGTTCACACCACTCCAAACGAACCGAATTATGCATGGAAGTGGACCAGGGTTAGTTTAAAGCGGACCAGATAGCGCCAGTGTGAATTGGCCATCAGTTTACGTGATTTCTAATGGTAAAATAAATCTGTTACATCGCTCTCTTCAAAGCGAAATTCCACTGAAAAAAACAGTGATTTAATATAAATGAACACAGGAGCTGCTGGTCTTTTACTTCCTCCATCAGTTAGTTAGTTTGTGTTATTGTGTAACTTTGGTGTTTGAAGGGGTTAGTTTGGATTCACCAAAGTCACATAATAACACAAACTAGCTAACTGATCAAAGTAGCGGTAGACCAGCAGCTCCTGTGTTCAGCGAGCTTAAATTACTATTT